ATGTTATCGTTTTATCATTTTTGTCAGCCAGTCAGAGGATTCTTTTTCCTCACACGATTCAGAGAAGACTTGGAACTGAAGATGTAAACCGGATGTCACATTTCTGCAATTGTCAATTGTGAATATATCACTGGAACTACTCCTTAAACAAAAAGATGCTCTTTTATTGGCATTGTACCTTCTACACTGAAAAATATAATGCATCTCTTTGGATTTTTAACAAGGTCACTGGTAATGTGAGCTTGAGCAAAAAGAGCCTCACAGCTTGACCAACTTTATTTAAGCTCCTCTGTTGCACAGGAGAAGGAGTGAGTCAGAGGCAGAGGGGAGGAAGAGTGAGTGAAATTGTGAGGTATTGAGAGATTGAAAGGGTCAGTGATTGAGTGTGAATGAATGATGCTCAATAATGATCCATCTATCTACAGTATATGTAAATATTTTATGATATGTCTCTGTTGTAAATGTCTGTAATATGTCTGTAGGTTTTATTTTACTTTTATTTTTTGTTTTGTTCCATGTTCATATTATTATTTTTATTTGCTTTGGCAACACTGATTGTACCCATTGGTCATGCTAATAAAGCACCTTGAATTGAATTGAATGAGGCAGTGAGGCAGTTATACAGAGAATGAGGCCATTGGCGAACTGAGTGAGTTGAGACTAAGAAGCAGTGTGGGCGGTTGATTTATCTTCTAAGGTGGATTTAGGACAATGTGGAGAACCTGTTGACTGGTTTTCTACAACTGATTTTTTAACTACATGCAATGCAAATCTCACGGTATTTATAAAGATATTTTTGTGCAGCCTTCCCATTTGCTAAAATGCAGTCCTGGTTCATTCACTGGTGTTTATAAGTACAATTATTTTTTTTATATACTATTATATACTATTTGTTATACAACAAGTGCCAATCTCAGATAATGCCAATCTTAAATAAAATAAATTATTTATCTTACTGAACAGGTTATTGTAGGGGTGGGGCTACTCTTTTTGGCTCTCCCTGAATCTGCCTTTATTGCTCCTGTGTACAAAGGATTGTTTCTGAAGGAGAGGTCAGTGACTCAGGTTGCTAGGTGATGTGACCGCGGAAGAAACTGGGTCACATGATCACGATATTTGTGTTGACTACATTAGGACAATATTAACTTAAATCTGTTTGAATCCTTTCAAATAAAGAGAAAATCAGTGGCAATAGCTTGTAGCAGAAAAGTTTTAATACAGTTAAAAATGTGATTATTTCTGACATTTCATGATTGTTTTCATGATTGACAGTCCATTGTACTCCACATAGTTGATTCATTTTGTTGCAAACAAATTAACTTACAACAAAATGTAACTCTAACACAAGAAAGGTTTCCGTAGATAACTGTGGCTTGCTGTGCAAATTGAGAGTTATGGAATGAAGACTACCCTCCATGGAAAGCAGGTTGTGAATGACCCCGTTGGGTACACCTTGGTCTTCTTTATCATGTAGAAGGGGAGCCTAAAGGAATTGTATCCCTGCAATGTCACAGTTAACACTTTAATGAACTGGGCATTTGAATGTTCTAATGCCAAGACACGGTTCTGCTCAATCGTGTGTCTCATCCTCACACAAACCCCTCTGAGTGCAGCTTTGTTGAAGGGGCTTCACTCTAACAGCTCTCTCCCTGTGAAATGACAACAAAGAAAAGGCACTAAAAACAGACCATTGATATATAAAATCCTGGGAGATATGGGAGATAACATATCTTTGATTGTAGTCAACAGTAAAATGCAGACAATTTACTCATAAAAAACCTTAACACACAATACTGTTGTACTGTTCCAACAGGGAATTTCCAACACTTTTGGCTCCATGACAAATCACACTCCTGGTTTCCTCAAAATAATTGTAGAAAAAAGGTGATAAGTCTAATCTGTCATTTCTGCAGTAGGAAGTTTCAGCAGCATGGTCCAGTATTAACTGTAACCACAGCACAGGGATTGTAATGACAAGGTTGATTGTAAGAGCAGTCAGTTGGAAGGCTAAACAGGAATTTTCTTGAGGTCAGAGTAGGTAAATTCTTCACGCTTTTTGGCATTGTTTGGCCATGGCAAACCACAGCAGGCAGGGCGCTGGCACTGACATGTTCCACTGTGTTGCTGCGGTCAAGGACCTGTTTTGACACCAACACCTCACATAATTCATCTGTACTTGTCAGTCAGCCGGCAGGTCCAGCTTTATTTCAGCACAAAGAGTTAAGCATAACACAGTCCTGCCTCCTTATCGGTTCCTTATCAATCCTGCTATCTCAGTATCTGTGTTCTCCCAGCTGTAGACAAAGCCTGTGTTGACATTCCTGAGCACCCACCCTTGTGAAAACACACCACCCCTGGCAGCTGGCTGGTGTGGAACAAGCAGCACTCTGGTGTTGTGGGCCTCTGTGCACACTGGGAACAGAGGGAGTCAAAGCCACCCTCCAGACCATTGCACTACAGGATTTGGGCACAAGCAGCTTATTGATTAACCATTATTATTTAATTGTACAATTAAGCAGCTGGTAGTATTAGATCCTCACAGTGATGCTGTTTGGAAAGACTAGCTTTTTCTACCCCTGCTCTGTATATTGTAAAATCTACTTCAAACACACAGGGTACAGTGTGTTCCAGCATGTAAGAATTATGTTTACATAGGCAGTACTGATACTAACAGAGCATTTCAAAAGGTAATATGCAGTTATTCCTTTAACAGTTATTTTATTCCTTAATGTATAATTGAAATATTTCCATTTAAGATTCAATAAAAGACGTTTCCTTGCCAAAAAATAATCATGTCAATAAACAAAATTTGGACTAACACATTCCTAAACCACAGGAAATTAAAGCTAAGTGTGTTCGTATGTTTTTGCCCCTTCAGGTAGTACTGTTGGAAAATTATAAGAAAACGTACATATGAGGGGAGGTTAGAAAAGATTAAATTAACGTCCGAACCACACAGTTTCTCAAAAGATCTTGTGACTGAAGGGTTTGAGTGAGTGTTGGACACCTTGGGACACTAACAAGAAGCCAGGAAGCTGTTGACTAATTAATGGTGGAGATCAGTTTTATTTTTGCTCCTATCCCATGTGTGTAGTTGCTGTTTGCCCAATTTGACTTTACAGTGCTTTTTCTCACAGGCCATGTTTTTTTGTTTTGAAAAGAAAGTTGTTTACCTTGATGGGAGATCAGCTGGCAGGAGCAAACGTGCCGACTGCTGCCTGGTGCTGGGAAGACTGACAGCCGCCAAGGAGGAGCTGGAGCTCTGTCTGACTTCAGCCCTCTTCTCTCCATTCCCAAGCCCAGTCCCTGAGAGGCACTCCATCTTCTGGCCTTCCTTCCAACCACTTTTTTACTTGTTCTCAACGCTAGCAAAGTTGGAGATTTGAAAGTGACTGATACAAGTTTAAAGGAGCAAGTTATAGTTAATTCCATGCTGGAAAGTAAAAAGCATAATGATTCAGCTGGGGAGGCTTCTTCAAGGGCTTGGTGGAGAGATGGTAGAGCAGAGCTGTGGATAGAGAGGTGCATTGTTGGAAAATAAGACCCACCAAGGCCAGCAGTCAGAAATCAAATAAGCTGTTAAATCTTCTCATTTGAGGAGGTACCACTCACACCTCTCAGAGTTCCATCCCTTTATCCACTTTTTTTACTAACCCACTTCCAATTTCCAAAAGAATAAATTAGAATTCTAGTATGTGTTATTGTGCAAGCCCGTTTTGTTACTTGCACTAATTTTGTATGCTTTGTTTGTCTTTCTTGAGTGCTGCTGAAATGCAAAGAATGACGAAAATCAAAAACCCCACCTGCCACCTACTACAGCCCCGAGCATGAGCCAGACATGTTGCAAGGCTAGAGTTTCCCCAGCTTGCTTAAAACAAATTGTAAACCACCTTCTCCATGCCAGCCTGAGCCCCCTGCGGCCTGGGTGTGCCAGTGGAAAAAAGGAGGTTGCTGCCTGACGTGGGTTGAGTGAGGTTTTTATGTCCACAATTACTGGAGATCCTTGCATCTGTTCCATGGGCTGTTAAAAAGCCCCATTGTAGCAGAGAACTTTGGAAGATACAGAAATTTAAGTCACTCCAAAATTATGGGAGCATATCTGCTCCAACCCCAGTTATACCATTGAGTACTTGTGCCACACAACATGTACGAGACTCAAACATACGGTGCTAAATGGCAGAACAGCCTAAAGTGATGCCTTTAATTCCCAAGATTTGCCAAGGGAGTTAAATCACAGTTGCAGACTGATTATACACTATGAGCCCCGACACAAAGAGAGGCTACACTGAATAATACGCTGCTTGGATCAGAGGCAGGTCTAAATATGCTAGTATTGTATTAAACTACTCTACCGAGACAATCATTAACACACCGATTTCAATCTGCTGTGTTTAGCGTCCTAACTTCAAAAAGCAAAGGGAGAAAAGTGAGTTGCATAACTAGCAAGACCTGAGAGGAGACTCAAGTACACAATCTCGATTTCGAACCAGATTCCCTTCATTGGCCTGACTAATCTTCCTGATCGGTAATTTCATCTTAAACAAATAGTATAATGTTCAAATTAATTTCATGCCACATACCAAAAATGATTTGAGAGTTTGAGCTACTTTGAGATCCTTTTGATATTGTGTGTGGAGCACACCTCCAGAAGCTGAACTGGATTTTCTTGAAATAAAGGACAACAAGGACTTTCAATGCATATGGTAGACTTTGAACACCAGAAGTGCTGGATACTCATTAAGCACTTAAAAAAAATTTAATCCAGCACTGGGGTGTGCACCATGGTGAGGAATGTAGCCAGGCAGCTCTGAGATTAGGAAGATCATGAAAATGTGGTTTTGCACACACCTAACATTGATCAGTACTCTACCAGAACCATAGGAAAGCTGATTAAATAAAAAACACAATTCAAATGAATATACAATGTGATCAGAAGTATTTGAAAAAATGCAGCTACACTCAAACCATGTCTGCAAAACAAAATAACATCTCACCCGCCGTCAGGTTTTATCTTTTATTTGCAAAAGTGTCAGGAAATCAACACTTGCAGCAAAAATTTTAATTGGTCCAGTAGAAAACATTAAATGATTTTAATACTCTTTTTCCCTTTTTTGTTTTAATCTTCTTCATAACTGAATGCTGTGTAATCTACATTTAGTCTAAATGAAGTAACAGTGTAGTAGTGGGTATTTGTAAAGACTTTACGTTATATATTAACATCCAGTACCCTTCTCATTTCAAATAAGATGTTTGGAAAGGGACAATAGACCAAGGACTGTGTCTTCTATGTAAAAAAAAAAAGGTTAGCTGGCTACATATAAAATGTACAGTATTTAAAATTAACTTAATATTCACATTTATTTAAAAAAATATGTATGAACCCAGGATCTTTCAAAATACCCACTATACAATATTTCTGTTACCTGCAGTGAAAGATCATTTTAAATTACAATAAACATAATGGGTTATTAATTAATATTTTTTTGTACTTTTTAATTTTTTACATGAGTCAATAAATTAACATGCTACCTCTTTCCCTGAAAGCAAATACTCCACCACTGTGTCGAGTGAACAATGAAAGTAATACATGATTTTCACCACGGAGCTATGAAGAGGTGCGACACACTTCACCTCAGTGTGATTCAGAAGGGAGGGGGGCGCTTATTCTTAAATCCATACAAAAAATAATTCAATTGAAATATATAATATATATTTATACATATTTGAATATATTTACAAATATACCCAGCACTCTATATACTGTGTTTTGCTGACCCATAATAAGTGTGTGTGGGCTTAGTTTTGAAAAACAATGATACAAAATAAACAAGGGAGGCAGTTTCTGTCTCCTCTCCTCTTCACTTTTCTGTTTTATTCCCTGTCTTGTGCCTTTGAGTCCATCTTGGTCCATCCCTTCTGGAATGAAAAAAAAAGCTGCGAGCCACCTGCCTGGCTGTTGCAGAATGGAATGGAATCACTGAAATGGAAGTGAAGAATTCCAGAACTCGGAATGAAACCCCAAGCCGTCTTTTGTGACTGAAAAGGTTCCTAAGAGCTTTAAGTCTTGAGCCTGCGGCCAGCGTCCTCATTCGCCTCGGCTCCTCTGCAGGCTCCTGCAGTCCGGGGGGAGCCAGCAAGGTGGGCGGTCTGTCTCTGGGGTGGGGCAGGTCAGGCCTGGGCTCCTCATGTTTTCACACTGCCATTCATGTGCTGGAACTTGGGAAGGCAGGGCTCATCCGGGAGAGGGTCGTGGGAGAAGACGGAGTCGTCTCCCGATGAGCAGGAGCTGCGCGTGTCTGGGAAGCTGGGGGAATACTGTTCTGCTGGAGCGCACAGGTCCAGATACTCCTGAAAGACACATGGGAAATATAAGCCTGGTTTTGGACAGGGTGCAAAAAACACCAAACAATATACAGACTTCTTGCATCATTCAGAAGGAAAACCAACACCCAAGAACTAAGAATTTTCAAAACAGGTTTATAGGGGTGTTTAGTCATAGTAAATTTGGCTTCACCCACTTCGCTGAGGGCCAACCCCCTGAAAACAGGATGAGGAGGCTGGGGCCCCTTGCAGAGGGAGGAGTGAACCCAGGGGGAGCAGCAAAAGTGGAAATGGGTAGAGGAGGGATGCAAAAGACAGACACGAAGGAGAAAAGGGGTTTACCTATTTTTTCTGTTAATTTAATTTTTATAAATCTAGGAAATTATGTGAGGAATGATTGTGATTTAGGACAGGCAAGGATTATTGAACCCCCAAGTGTTTGTTGTAAACTCCATAAAATTTGTTTGCAACACACAGTGTGATCCCAGCCAACCAACTCAGAGAGCCTTCTGATTTCAGCAAGATTCAGACTGATGCTAACTGAAGCCAATTCAAGCTTCAAGTAGCCATACCGGTCTTAGCCTGCCAGAACACACAGAATTACATACTAAAAGGTTATAGAGCAAGACCGTAGAATGTTTTTGAACTGAACATTGCACAAACAGGGAGTCTGCAGTCTAAGAAGGATTATTTCAGCGGAAAATAAGTAATTTATGAGATTGGGCAATGTGTTTATGTATTTTAAACCCAAATTAAATTTGGAGGGAAGGAGTGTTGCCATGACATTTCTTCAAGTCAGTATAACTGCAGCTGGAAACTCATTTAAAAAGTTGTCACGTCACAACAAAAATGATCTTTTATACTTGAAAAAGCTTAATTAAGTCCTCACATGAACCTCCCTTGTGGTACTGGTTATTTCTTTGTTGCCTTTGCTATTTCCTTGGTTAATAATACTTACCAAATTTATTCAGGATAAACAAAAATGGCTTCTGAAATCAGAGCTTGAAACATGTCACTGATCATGTTTCTTAAGAGCTGAACATCTGTGAGTGGTTTAGAAAAGTTTATTATGCCTCAAAAGTTCAAATTCAAAGTTATGCTCTTGGCGTATCAATAACTCATATTTAAATACAAGGCATTTTTGTTAGGTTTTGCCTGTGTCTGAACTCTGTTGTTTATGTGTTGCACTGTTACGGTAACTGACAGAATGGGCAGTACAACACTGCAGTTTATTTTCCGATTGTGCAACAGGATGCCTTTCACACAGATTGCTTACAGTCAACATGATCATATTAAGACAAATGATGATGAGACAAATGATGATGAAACTCTTCCAGAACAATAGCAATAAAAAACAATGGAGGGTCACGTGGTCTCTTCCAACACAGGCCTCACAGCCACTCAGATCCCTGCCAACTGCTCAATCAGCTAGATCGTTAAACTGACACGGACTCTGTAGAATACAGAGCACAATAACCTGGCTGAATGTACAAACAGAGCTAAAAACGATGTAAGCCAATGAGAGATCAAAAAACAATACTTCAAATGATACAGAAAACAAAGGATAATGGCAAGGCTGCAGGAAAATTTGCCAATTTAAGATACTAAACTAAGCACTAGCAGATATACACTGACTTGAATTAGCATGGCCACTTTTCAAATTGAAAATCTGTACAGCATTATTCTAACCTAAATGAAACTCAGCTAACTTTCCACAGATATGATTATGTTCAGAATTTATTTGATTTTGTTTTTCTGTGACTTTTTCTTGCGCTAGAATCAAATCTCGCAGCTTTTGCATTTACTTTCAAGAAATAAGGGGGGAGACAATACAATGTAAGGGTCCGTACAACAGCAGTGGGATTTTCAAAATGTTTTGCTACACAGATGAAACCAATTGTTTTCTGATGGCTGAAGTTTAAAGATGCATATCACATGTGTGCAAATCAGACATTAAATACTTGTACTACTGCCTTTAAAAACTGTTGGGGAATTTTAACTGTCTTATTTGGAAATTGAAAAAGTTGCATTAATCCATATACAAGCCCCAAAAAACTACTAAATGTGAACTTTTTATTCATTCTAAACAAAGTGTAAGAAATGGCTGGTAGCGACAAGCATTTGTAACCAAAGTTCCTGGGTACTCTGAACAGTACCCGGTTACAGAATGCAGAGGGGAAAAGCACTCACTTCGTTGGTAGTTAATGTTAGGATCCGGTCCAGGTCTTCAACCAGCTGTTTGAATGTTGGCCTTTGTGAAGAAATGGCATGCCAACAGTCTTTCATCATCATATACCTGTGCAGAAAGAAGACATCACAGATGAAATCATCTGGCTCACAAAAGCCTGCCACCTGAAGTAGTGAAGCTTCCAGGTCAAAACATGTAGCACTCTTTATGATGACTGTCCTTTTATATAAGACAATTTACTCACAAAAGCACTGATCAAAATCTCAACTTAAAGTAAACTGTGTATATGTGGAAGTTCTTCTTAAACTGACCATACAGCCAGGCTAATTAACCAGAATAGTTCTGTCTGGCATGCAATCTGTAGTAGTCACAAACATCTGTTAGATGGAAAATTAATTATTAAGAACATTTGGGAGCGCTGTAACTCATCTTATACTGTACACTGTACACAGACTAAACATGACAGGCTTGCTGCCCTCTTTTATGTCAGAGTAATAGGCTACGGCAAGAATCTCTGTTCATTTGAGGAGCTGCATCTCAGAGGAGAGACTGCTTTCTGTCAGTCAGTCAATTAGCCAGTCCTGACATCAGAACCCAGCTGTCAGCAGCTGGACCAGCTGAGCACATTGCCCTATTCTTCTAGGTACACTGTAACACTTTCCAAATCCAGTTATCTGGCAGCCCTGCCTCTCACTATCATTCCCTCAGCATGGCCACTTAAACATATGGGGGTGGGAGACAGAAGAAACACAGGGGCGAAGAGAAAGAAGTAGTGGTACCATAGAGAACCCGGAAATATTTTTAAGTCTTGCCTTACAAATAACTCAGATGACATATTCCAGCTTTTTCCGATAAGAAAGATGACTCTTTCTCTGAACCAGCGGTGGCCAGAAGCAACAGCTGAACACTGTCCAGTACAAATAAGGTATAGGCCCCCATTGGGCAGCAGGGATTTTGGTCCTTACAGCTCATTGGTGCAGTTTCCTGGCTTATCCATGCGATGCCCCTCCTTCAGGAGTTTGAAGAGCTCTTCAACTGGGATCCCTGGATAAGGTGACCCTCCCAGCGTGAAGATCTCCCACATCAGCACCCCAAACGACCACCTGCAAGAGCAACACATGAAACACCAGCTTACCAAAAATGTTGACTACAGAAAACAATGACAGAATAAGGATATTCTGTCATTAAGAATAAGAATAAGATGGCAAAGTGTAGCAAAAAGATGGTGAAGCACAATCAATTATGACAGAACACACAGCAAGCGAACAAGAGAAGTACTATGAAAGCAGCATAAATTATGCAGTTAAATTATTGTTATAATATTGCAAATGGTGCATGTGCAAAACCACCATGACTAACTTACAATGTTAACCTTTCTTAAAAGCCATTAGATACATCACCCCAACTTCCTTTGAAGAGAGCCCTTATCTGAGGCCACTGGGACATGGTACAGCTACTGTATCCCATTGCACCATTCACAAAAACATCACGCTCAGATAAATATGCTGTCAATGTGGCTGAAAACTAACACCCCTTTCAACAACGCCTTTATAACTGTTTTCTTTCCTTGCCCACTCCAGTCAGCAGTGCACCAGTTGTAACAGCTAGATGCATTGAGCACTGGTTCTCAATGGTGGCCTTTGTTTGTGCAACTCTCGACAGTTGCCCCATTGTTAATATATGCAATATATACACAACTCATCTTCTACATTTCTTTCAAATTTATCCTCAAAGAAAGGATCATTGAACGTTGTAAGATAATGAACACAGTCTAACGTACATCGGTACCGACCATGATTGTGGCACCTTAAGGGCAAGGACATTGAGATGAGCAGACCAGGAGCCTGTGCTATGTCCTGGCAGAGAATGACATAAGGCCATGGTTTTCATTCAGCACAAAAGAAACAGAAGTGAGGGTCAATGCCACAGAGGCCCACAATCCACAGTTCACCAAAAACAGGTGAATTCTCCAAATATTTCCACAGTGGTTATACACCCCTGGGTATAAATATAACCTATTGTGCGAATGCCTGACATCAGACTCTGACAAAAGCACAAGACAGAGCCAATAGTGCAGGTGGAAATGCATGAATGGGAGACAGGGTCCTGAGATGGAACACAGTCATTACAGGTTTCCATCAGTACAATGACTTTATTATTAATGGTATAATAAATTGGCTATGAATATGTGAACATATTGCTATGAATATGTTTCTCCTGAAGACTATGATCATTAATAAAGATACATTTTCACCACACAAATCACGTACAATCTTTCCCCACTAATTTTCACATTCTGTCTCCTTGTCAACTGCTTGTCAACATCAAGCATACAAACTCTCCCTGGCAGGTTCTGTTGTAGGGAGTGCATTCATGTAGGGTATAAATTCAGTTTATCTAAAGCATTTACCTATTTGTATTCACTTTCTCTGCTTTTGATCAAATTTGTGTATTTTTATCAGACTTCCTTAGAGAACACAGTGGACAGGACCACTGGCAATTATTCTTAGAAACTAATTAATAGACCAAGAAACACACAAGAATAGAAAACAATATAAAGTACTAATTTGTACTTTTGTGACAATTACAATTCAAGTGTAAGGCAATGCTTACAATTGAAGTCTTTTAGTCTTTAAATGAAAATTAAATACAACTGTCAAGAAAAAAGATTACTCCTATTAGCATTCAGGAAAATAATAGAACTCATACGTAAACTACACTACTGCCTTTGATTACTAATTTAAAATGCAATACATAACACTAATATATTCAGTGAAAGGCTTCAACTTGCTGGCCAAGACTCATTTCACTTACATAATTGTTTCACAGTCCCGTCAAAAACTGCTAAATTAACCTTACTGAGCCTTGTCAGCATTGAAGATAAGATAAAAGTGTTTTTAGTATTAGGAATATGTCATTCACAATACAGATGAATGAAAACACAGACGGATTATTTTGAGAAAAGAGAATAACTGAGGGAGGTAATAAAGAAAATGTGCAAAATGTGACCAATTCAGACAAGAGCTTTGTAGTCAAACATCTGTGAATAACTTCAAGGAGGAAAAACTTCCGCACTGACAGAAGGAGGTTAGCATTAGCCACCTTTCTTGTGCTTTGAAGACAGGCAGATTAGTAACAGAGTGTTGGCTACCAGTCTAGCGTGAAATCTTTACTTTCTGTGGGCAAAGTGCCTCATTGTCACCCCTGACCTTTCACCAGCTCTCTCACAGCAAACACCAGCAGGACAGGGTCCAGGACTACAACAACATACTCACACACAGAGGGAGGAAGGTCTGTGGAGACAAGTTCCACCAAGAGTCTCGACAAGAGCAGTAGTACTTACACATCGCTCTGGTGCGTATAAACCCTGTCGAAGAGAGCTTCCGGAGCCATCCACTTCACCGGAAGCCGGCCCTGTGGGAGACACAGAACAGGAGGGGGTTAAAGTTAAAGGCACGAGTTCCTCTCTAGGCTCGCAAGCGGCCTGAACTGAAATCAGAAACCATAAAAATCATCTGGGAAACAAAGCAGAACAAACATGTCAAGAGAGATCAGACACTAACATACTTTCAACTCCAGACCGCTCTATAACTTTAAACTGTCCCTCAAGAGCTGCTTATTTCGTATGCACTCTCGCAATCTACATTCGTATCTGTACTGGGCAGTTTTAAATCACTCAGCAGCTGATTCAGTTTGCTTTGTGGGAAACTGTCATATGAATATGATGATATTGGTAAGAATCATCTTATGTTCATCTCAGGTCATTTTTTTAAATGTTAAAAAATGGCACTAAAAAGTTAATTAAGGGTGTGATGTACAGATACACTTCACTGGTCTGGGCGATGTCCTCTGTTGAGCCATTCGGCTCAGCGTGCCAGCCTGCCCGGCTGTTTATTCATGTCACTAACTGTGAAGGTAAAGGACTGAAAGCAGCAGTGACACGAAAGCCCATACTTCATTCACTGGCAGCCTGGGAACCTTCGAACAGTGCCAAGTGCAACACTACAGTGCCCAGAGACAGAATAATTAACACTCCGCTCTCTGAGCCACAGCCAAGCCTGTCTCGCTGAAACTCAGCACTGAGCTGAGCCCCCCCAATCCGGCAGCAGCCCCCCAGCGGCTGTTACAGCACTCACGTTTGTCGTCTTTTTGTAGTAATCGATATTGTGGACGTCTCTGGCCAAGCCAAAGTCTGCTATTTTCATCACGTTGTTTTCTGTGACTAACACGTTTCTCGCTGCCAGGTCTCGGTGAATGCACTGGAAACAAAGGGGAGAAAGAAGAGCACTGATCTTACAGATCTGTTGCCGACAGGATTTCAGGCAGGCTCCCTAGAGATGAGGTTGCTGAACAGCATCATCGAGCATGCTGCTATGTCCACGACGAAGGCACAGAAGGCACACCAGATAGCGCAGCAGTAGGCTGTATTGTATTCCCAGGAGATAACCAGAGTTCCAAGAGCAAAATTCAACATATGTAGATACTGCAATTTGAGTCAACACCAATAAAAATGTATGGAGTACATTAACTGCAACCTTTATGCAAAGAATACATGGAGTGAGTGATGTTACGCACAAAATTGAGGTAAATTTATACATACGGATGTCAGCCACTCTGACTCCGTACAACACTGGAGACTGCACTGTGCACGTGTACTACATGTCTACACTTCACACAAGCTAACCGAAACTTCCAGAGAAGTCACACTGAGAGTTCATGCTTGGTGTATACAGCTCAGTTCATACCCTTTGAGGATTCCTCCTTAACCACAGGTATTTTTTCGTTATTGTAAAACAACAGATTAAAAGGTTTCTTGTTTAATCAATAACGACAGATGAAACCCACAGTGTTCAGGCTAGGGAGGCCCTTGTTGCTGGGACTCACTCCTAGGTTCACAAGAATGTCAGAACTGTGTAGCTGCATACTCACTGTTCTGCATTTTCATGTTTATTTTGCAAAGACCTCCCTTTGAAAGGCTATAAGCAGCCAATGTATCTTCACTGTGGCCCAGTCTATCAAAACACTTTCCTTACCCTCTGGGTATACGATGTTTATGTATTAAGTATAATTATTTTTAATATTATACTTGAAATTATTACATGTCTCTCTTGTCTTGAAAATAATATTGTCCGGACATTTTAATCAACAACCGGTGAACGTAAACACAAGACCATATATATATATACATTTGTAAACTGCAGGATTGAATACAAGTTAAAGGGATCTAGGATCAGTGATCACCAGGTTACTGTGGCAGCCAGGACTTGATATTTACGAGGACAATTGATTTCTATATGTGCCATCCTTCTTGAATAACATAGATCTAAAATGTTTTTTCACTGAAGTGATTTACAGTCAGATCTCAGGCAGTCCCTTTTCACAACTTAATTCAGGATACTGAGTGTAGCGTTCAATCAGTGTGCAGTCTTCTAAAATCCAATTATGGAATTAACATGCACTTTATGCAACCTTCATCCACACAACCTTTATTTAATCTTTATTCTGCGCATCAGGACTCCACTTGCCTTTTGTGATGCCAGGTATTCCATGCCACGGGCTACCTGGTATGTGCAGGAAACCAGATCCTTGAAAGTGAGCTGCTCATCAGGCACACGGGCAATATCGTAGGAGTACTCCATGCCTGGGGGGCGACGGGCTCGCAGGTACTCGCGCAGATTCCCCTTGGAGGCATATTCCACTATCACATAAAGAGGCCCTGCAGGAGCACACAGCACCTAGCTCAAGACACTGCACAATGAATGCTGCACACCCCAGACACACTCTGAGCACTGCACACAGCCGAGCACACAACACACAGCATCAGTGCATTCTGCACACTGAAGAGATACAACCGGAACTCTCTTTATCCACAGATTAAACAGATGTTTAAGGCTTGCCAAAAGTAACAGAGCCAAATACTTTTCTTGCACTTTGCTTACCATCCTGTGTGCAGGCACCCAACAGATTGATTATATTTTTGTGCCTTCCAATCATTTTCATCATTTCCATTTCGGATACCAGGTCTGAAAGATCCTTTTCTGTGGCATCATCTGTAACAAAAGGAAAGCTGGCAATTCAGCTCAAAGAACAGTTGAACAATGTGCTGTGCTTTTTTCCCTAATGCACTTATAAACAGCACTGTGATTAAAGGGGACTTTTAGACAATGGAGTATGAAGTTACCAAGGAACTGTAATACACAAGCATCCTTTCAGCTATGGAATTAAATGCATCAATTTAATTTAAAGCAATTACCTGCAGCCTCTTTCTTCATTAGCTATCACTGACTGATCCTCATTCTGGTATAAGACAACACATTTCCTAAATTCTTTGTGACAATTAAATGTTTTTTTAAAGGAGCTTCCTTCATATTGGACTTTGTTTCAGTCTTTTTTCATTGAAGCACATGTTTAAAGCGTTCTTTGTTTAACTGCTGAATGACAACTAAACAGCTGATCCCAGAGGTCAGCTATGTGACCACTGACCCCCCACAAACAATCTTCAATCAGCACCATTGTATAACAAAATCCCCAGCCAGACACTTAGTGATGAGCAGGCACTGAAAACAAGGAATGGAGAATTCCTGGTGTACAGTCAGGACTCACTAGGTGCACTAGTCACCTAAGGGTTAACAACCCTGTGGATCAATTATACACACAATTCACAATGCAGGACTTTGTGCATTCCCTTCACGAATAATAAAAGCCAGTACTGAGAGAAAGGTGTGAGTTTGGCTTAAGTGCAACACAAACTAATGGAGCGTTACTAATTTTTACTGGAGAATTACTCAAGGTGTCAATCAGTCCCTTTAGATTCCTGATCAATATCAGCCTCCACCTCGCTTTACCTTAAAATGTCAAGAAGCCTCTACAGACCTTTTGGACAGTCAACACTAGTGGCTGTGAAAAACCATTCATTTTTAAGCACTCAATTTAAGCTAAAAGAAATGCACCGGATATCAAAAACCTCTTCTCCACTCTTTCCACAACAAAGTTTCTCTTAGGGGTTGTTCTACACTTTTCAGGTGGTGTTCAGAAGACGAGATATTTATGCATAGGAGAATGGAAGGGGACAAATTTAGAATTTGACCTACTACACTTGTGTTTAAAAATGAATAAACGCAGGTTAAAAATAACTTTGGTTGTTTTTTGCTGCATTCGACACAATTTACCATTTACCAGTTGGACTTGGTAATTCACTGGATATTCAAGGAACTTTTCACTGGGAAATGAAGTCTAAGTTCACACATTTTTTCACTTGGCTTTTCATGACTTCATCAAAACCACCAGTAAAGATTTCAGAGTTATACTGCATTGAGGCGTAAAATATGAACAGCCTTACCGATTCAGTTGAACTCTGCGATACTTTAGGCATTTGACAACTAGAATTTTTGCCAAGAGTTAACGAGTCTTAAATTATAGTCAAGCCTCTGCTTCCTACCTTTCAGCATCTTCACGGCCACAGTCAAGGCCTCCTTAGGTTTGTCCTTGTCGATTCCCAGAGCCTCTGCCATCACCACCTGGCCGAAGCAACCCTCCCCCAGTGGCTTGCCCAGGGTCAGCCTGAGGAGAAAAGGGATAGTCAGGACTAGCGACTGGGAGATGACTCTAGAATATGGAGAACCTGGGAAGAAGTATTTGTGGTCACAGAGGTTACTCAGCAGTTTCTCACTCAGTTTACAGAAAGGAGAACATTTCTGTGTCTGTGGTGTGCTCTCCCCTCGCACTCAGTACCCTTTCTCTCACAAGATGGGCCCCGCTTTCACCTTATTCTGGGACATGTCTGCATCTCATAGCAGCACCAGACCTTTCTGGATTATGGATACTAGAAATATTCCTGTCATCTGTGATTCAGAAATCCCTTTCTACAAAAGGCTGTTGCCCACTCTGTTCATCACACATTTTCCTTGAAGAGGGTCAACAGCAAACTCCTCACATTTCTTATGTATTGGAATGCATTTTTATTTTTACCTCACAAACCATAGTGGTGTAAACCAAAACAAGTGGGTTTAACATTCAAGTCTGAAACTAGGCATATAATAAAGAAATAGTATATTATTGTATTTCCACTTAAAAAAATAATCTTAATAAATTGCAAATGTTCCAGCTCAATGCACAGAGCAATAAAAGCAAACATATTCAATTCAATTTTCTTATGGAAATAAAAGTATGCTAAATTAAAACAAGCAAATATAAAGATAACATGTTGTTCCAAAGAAGAATGTTCCCACTGACTCTGCTATTGTGTGAGCCATGAGCTCTTCAGGCCTGAGTAAAGTCTGAGAACAGTCAAAACCGCCTGATGCCTCACTCTTTCTGCATTTTAGCAGAGGTTTGAATGGCAGCCTAAAGATATGGTTCTTTCAAAACCTTCACCTACAGTCTCAAGTGTTGTACAAACATTTACATTAGCGATGGATAAAGTATATGACCCAGCCATACCGACTAGAGCAGAACAATTCTGTCTCTGTGCCGAGACTTGTCTTCCCTCCCTAATAGCACTCTCAATAGCACCCTTTCACTGGGTGCAACACAGATAAATGTTTTTTTTTCTTTGCAAACGTTAGCATTCCAGAATTTTCCACATTACCGCATTGCCTAAGGCAGTGAGCTACCAGTGATATTTGTGTGAATAGCTACCAGAAAGCTATTCACACAAAGCTCTGATTCAGTACATCAGCAGGATGTTAAAAACACAGCCACAGTGAGAGTGACCGTCAGATATTCACACCACGCTGACAGGATTAAGAAATTTTCTGTGATGTGACAGAAACAAATTTTACTACTCTGCCATAAACATTTTATACAACACAATGGATCAGATTCACAAGCCTATTTTTAAAGAAGTCTGAAACTTCCCTGGAAAAGTTGGGTAAGTTGCAAAAGACTACTAATATAAAAAATGAAGCCTGGAAAATAATTATTTTTTCCCTGTGCAGAGATTTGGATAATTAGCTGGTGTTACCAGGACTCAAGAAAAAGGAAAACAGAAGCAAGAATTATCTTAAAGCAGAAAGATTTAAATGCTGTCCTTATGTAGTGAATGGCCACAGCTTTCTGTCTCTCATTTCAAATGAGCTCACGATGACTTCATGGAAATAATCATTGACTTAATTTGCCTGAAATACCACATTTTTCCAGATCTTCACCCACTGCAAATTTGCCTTATCCAGGTATTCCCATAGTCCTCAAGTACAAGGCATGAGTCTCACGTCAAGCTCGAACCCAGAGGGGCAAAACACATGACGACCGCGGGCTTACATTCCGTGTGACCTCTTAACTGCTTAACTAATATTAACTGGACCGATTTCCCGATCGGAGCCTTCCGGGACTAGAGTCAGGTGTTCCAGGTCTGAGGAGTGGGACAAGCCTGCGGCGTGCTTACTCACTTGTCCCGTGAGAATTCCCAGCGGGGGTCCTCAGGCAGCTCGTACTCGGGCACACCAGCCAGCATGGGCGCGTCAACGGCAGAGGACAGGCGCGTGGTGATCCTGACCAGCGGGGTGCTTGAGTTCATGGAGGAGCTCGAGTCCGCCGACACCTGTGGACGGGCAGGCCAAACACAAGGCTGATCACCACTACCTGGGTTGTCCAGAACATTCTCTCAGCTTGAGCCCTACTGCTTCAGTATGCGTATGTGCTTGGGGGCAGCACTGCACTGGTACAGCTAACATGCTTCTGTATTAATGTGAGCTAAACATTTTTCATATAATGATGTTCTGACATTGTTTTTACCATTTATCCAACTAATTGATTTTAATATGATTCATAATTTACATCACACACAATTCAATCGTTTCCTTCAGTAAAATAAATTTAAACCACAAAGTTTGACCTTAATTCTGACGACAACAGGTAAACTGAGGGCTGTCGTACTAGAATGAACAGTTAATTATTTCTAAAACAGTTCCCTCCAATTGTGATTTAGTTAGCATGAAAGCTGAGGAAAGTGCCTGGAAAATGTCCTCAGCATGTCCAAAGTGTTTTGGGCTGATTTACAGGCCACTCAGCTTGCTGTCCAGCCATGGAGCTCTGTGGCTAATTTGAGGTGGTGAGAGATGTTCACTCTGTCCTGCTCTCAGTGCCAACTCCTTATAGCAGTGCAGGCATCTGGACGACCTCCAACCTGTTGCTTTATACCTTCTTGAAGCATCTTCTTCTCCCTCCGAGGCAAATTATGAATCACGTCCGCACATGTCACAACAGTGGAATCATATACTAAAGGCATTTCACAATATCATCTAACTAGCTGGCTCACCTTCATCTAGCTTTGAAACATAAAGAAAGAGAAATGCTTTTGAAATATTCCTGAATAAGGAACAAGGCCACTAAGAAAAGGTGCTACTCTGGGACGGGATCGGCCCTGCTATGGGAGGGAGCAGCAAAGCTGACTGTAGAGAGCTGGGGACTCTGTTATCCTGAGAACTGGCAGGACTGGTAACAGAATAAGGCAATGGGTGGCTCCTGCTTCTCTGGACAGTTTACCAGTGGCCTTCCAGCAACTAGGCACATTAACTAGAGTAACCTTTATAAAATGTTATTGTGGAATACAAGAGAAAAAAGAGAGATTAGGAAGAGCCACATAGTAAACCTAGGGAGAAAATCATAGCATGGTATGTAAGAGACAGATTATGTAAAACTATGGCAAAACAAGTTATATTAATGGCATAACATTTGGGAAAAGCTACATACATATCAGTATTCAGGGGCCAATCCAGAACTTTGCTGTGCACACAAATAGTGGGACTCACAGATCCCCTCAAAAGATGAGTGAAGAGACAAATGGAGATAATTCTAGTTACCTTCTGAACAACCAAAGAGCTCCTAAGGACTAACAGTCTTTACTCCACTAAAAAACTTTCTTAATGGTCTCTCTTAATGGTCTTAATGGCATGCTAAAACAAATATCCTCCTAGTAATCTCATCTGTGATCGAATGTAGACGTTAACTTGCTGGCACTGAGTGTGATGACCCGCGTCTGCGTATCTGCCTCTGTGTTATAAAGTAGATGACATGCGTCCCTGCCTGTCTTGTGCATGGGTCTCTGTGATGTGTATTTCCCTGCTTCTCATGTATAAGAGTTTTTGAACTCTTTATCTACTTTCTGTTACCTGTCTGCGCAGGGGGATTTGCTTGCTCAGCTTGTGCACGGCTGGCTGGCTGCTGAAGTCGGGTTTCTTGGCGGTGTTCTTCATGCGGCACACCACCACGATCACCACCATGCAGGCAATGAGGAAGACGCCGATACAGTAAATGGCGATCTCTACGTAGTCCGGGGACGTCGGGCCAAATATCGGCTCCTCTGGATCAGCTGGATTACAGATAGGGACAGTTATCAGGGACAGAGCCATGCTGTCCCGCAGACACAGACAGGGAAAAGAGAGCTGTCTTACAATGCAAGCATGCATTGTGTCCTGTGTTATAAACTCCTAATCCAATCTCTGCCTGCCCCCCAACTCCTTCCCAACAATAACTAGGGGTTATTTGCTGTTTTTAATAACAGTGTTGTTTCCAGTTCCTTTCAAAAATAATTTCCTATTTCCCAGTCCTTAAAATCAGTTAATTTTCATTTTATAGAGAGGCCTTAATGGAATTGGAATAGACTAAAAGAGAATGAAAATTGGAAATGAAATTACATCCGAGATCTGATTTAAAAATGGAATTGGAATTTAAAAGCAGGAATTGACCCAAACCCTAACCCCAGCCCTCCGTTCCTTCCCAATACATAAACACATACCAAGAGCTTTCAGTTGCTTGTTTTAAGTCTTTAATCTCTGTTCAGCACACTAGCTAAATATTCCAAATGTGGGCCATTTATTGTAGAAGCCAAATGCAGAAAGAACTTCAGGAAATAAAAATGTCTCTAATTAAACCACAAATATAGAAGATCATTTTTCTGTGGGTAATCAGTCCTTCTAATTATGAAAGTGCTCACTTCTTATAATGTTTTAGGACAACAAAAATAATTGTTTACCACAAAGAAAATGTTAAATATAAAACAAGAAGCATAACAAATCCCCTCCAGGCAGCTGTTCATCAAGAAATAACACTAGGCACCACAGCTGGCCAGTGTTATTTAAGACAATTTTTAGTTTATCTATAGTAGTATAAGGATATTCTTTATATTCCTGACATGAATTTTGGATGAGGCAGACTGCTCCACACACTTAACAAACATGCTGTTGCAGGAGTCTCTGAAGAGATCAGTCAAGCAAATCCAGTGTGAATTTTGTACAGTTCAGAATCTCCACAAGATGAATTAATTTAATTAGGAGTGTCCACTGCATACATGAGAAAGCAGTGTTGGCCCTGAAGATGATCTGAACCTCATTCAACAAATATTCAGTCTCCCTGACTGCTTCTTGGTAAACGCTTTACGCACATAGAGTATTATGAAGGACAGCAGGTGTGCTGTGGCAATAATTGCTGCAATCCCTGTCACAGCTGGATGCTCTGAGTAGCTCAAAGCTGTTATTGTTGCTCTCCTGCAAGCATTATCTGTTTTCACTGTGTACGTTACCTCATAGCAGAGTGTATAAGACTTAAGAAAGCAGTTTATACTGGTGTCCCATGTCTATGTATAGGTCCTGGGATTACTTCACTGAAATCTCTGATCGTTGTCAGTCACATTTTTCTATGGTTTTCTCTTTAACCTGGAGAACATCTTAGAACTTGTAGAGTTCTGGTTAGTACCTACCCCCCCCCCAACCTAAAGTCCAGCTGCAAAAAAAAAGAGCTGCGAAATCCGTCAGGCCAGCATGCTGTGATCTGAACGTTGTGGCACCTGCAATGGCCATCAACAGCAATCTGCCCCTATCTATTCCATTCCTCAGTATCTGTGTCCAATACTGGTTTTCACATTTTCATTTCTCCTTTTATCGAATCTGTCCTCATGACACAGTGAACTCACCTCTCGGCTGCTGTAAACTGTTGCTATTCAGAGACTTTCTCATCCATCTACCTGATAAACAAGTCCTAGGGTGCTACACCTGCACCCTTAGTCTGCTAAGTCTGCACCCTATGGTGCTAAGTGTGCGTACTATCTGCTTCCTACTTTCATTTATTTTGGAATGGGACAACTATGCCTGCTGTGAAATGATCACTTGATCTTAGCTACAAGTCTAGGTATTCTACCAGAAGCTGTGACTACACAAACTGCATAAACTATATCAAAGAGAAAATTTTATAAGTATCCTCACATGATCATGTGAGACAAAAAAAATCAAAAGAGTCCAGAAAGTTAAAAATGCATCCACTCTGTAGATCTAGCGTGGTCAACAGCCTGGGGATGCTATGATCAGAAAAAAAGACCAGCACTCCCCTCATTGCCAGACTCAATGAGCATGTAAGTCTGTAAGTCTACATTCCATTGTTAATTCAACGATAATGAGCCACCATTGCCTGCAGGATAAATGAATTGCTGCTACAGTATTATCAGTCTGTAAACTCATCCGTAACACAGAAGCTCTCAGAGCACGGCAACTGTTCCATTGGGGGCTTTAATATAAATGAGGTGCCAGAGTATTGATTTATTTGTGTCTCAGAATAAAAATTCTTGTAAGGAAATCAATTTCACAACAGAACTAGAAACTGCACCATATTCTACAGCAAAGTATAGCAGCTCAACCTGGAGGAGATTTTTTTACCCTTTGTTCAATTTGATTATTCTGTATATCTGTGGGCATACTTTAATTAGACAAGGACTGAGTAATGAGTCAAGTGTATACACAAGAGATTTATGTAGTGCAGCTACGGTTTTTTGTACTCTGATAATGAATGGATCTTTGAAAACAGTTATGATGTGTAATATTAGTAAGCAAAGAAGAATACCTTCTTGGCAAAGCCTTGGAAAAAATCTGGGAGTTTCCAATTCAAAATATCGGATAGACAATTAAACATGGATTATATGCCACCCATGCAAAATTCTAAAACAGCAAAGGGGGAATTCTACAAAAAATGAATAAGGTAACAACTCCTGCAACAGACAGCAGAAGCCTTTTTTAAAAACTTTTTGAGCCATCAGATGAAAAAATAAAAGGGGCAGCAAGCAAATAGCAGTGCTCTTAAGATGTAATTTCAACACAATGAATAGAAAATACCTGCATAATAAAAATCACTTTCACACATTACCCTGGCCTTTCTGTAGCACACACTCATGGGGGCAGTTCACTGCTGTCTATTGCAAAAAGTGACAGTGTGTCTCTGATTTAACAACATCCCACTCTCATTGGTTAGAAACAAATCTAACAGGTCAAATGAAACGGCAGCTTCATTAACAGGTCGCAGTGTTGGGACTTTTTAAAATTGCTTTCTGAATGAGGAAGAAGATGAGTTAAAGTAAGATAAACACTCCTATGCAGTGAGAAGTAACTTTTTCCTAAAAAGAAAGTAGTGCCCAACACTGCAAAACACGGGTGCTCGTTGTTGCACTTCTAGAGAGTTGCAGGTCTATGAATGCATCTTGGCCAAGAAAACTGATAATTGAGAAAGCCTAGCCCGTGCAGGGATGCGTAGGGATAGACTTTCTTTTCTTTATGTTACAAGCTGACAATTATCAGGTGGGTAAGCACAGTGATTGTCATTTCTCAGAGGGGGGACAAGAATGACGAGCCACAGTTGTGGCAGCACGGGCTCTGATTCCTCAGCGAGAGAGCAGAGCCTGGCAGAAAGCATGCATGGCATAAAGGAGAGGCAGAGCACACAGTACCAACAGACACCCAGCGAAGTGACAGCCAGCTTCTGTAGCCAAAGACACTGACCTTTGCACAGTATATTGGAAAGGGCTAGACCTGACCACCAAGTCTCTTACTTTCCATTTTTCCCCACTAATAAAACAATGTTTGGTGCTAGAAATTTGCAGACTACTAGCAAATAACAACAACAAAATATTTTTAAAGACCCATTCTAGATATCTTTTCTAAAATTTGTATACATAGAGATGGCACTTTCCTTGCTTTGGTTATATTTTTTTATTCATTTCATGAATAATAAAAGATGACCATAATTACACATTAGTACGTACTTAGCTTTAATGAAAAGTGCCTTGATCTACAGAAGGGTCATTTTCTTTGGCTGATTAAAAGCAGTTGTCACTCCCTTCAAAAATCAGCATTGTCAAAGTCATAATAATTGAGGAACAGGAAAATACCATAGGAAGACAGAAATATATACCTGGAAGAACTGTCAACCATGCAGTGTGATAGGAGATCCCAATAGAATTACCCGCCAAGCATGTATACTCCCCCGCATCCTCAAAAGTAACATTTGGTAAAGAGAGAACCTCGATCTCTTTGTCCGTGGTGTTAACACCTGCGGTCTGGGAAAGAAATGGGGAGAGGGAGGAAGAGAGGAAACACAAGCACAGAGATGGTGAGACACTCTGGGTGGAGAGGAGTGTCGCCCTTGAGGGCCTCAGTTGCCCCATGAAGAGAGACTGGGGTTATGGGAGTGGAGAGAAAAGGCTCCCACATGACCCCTCTACACACGTCTTGTGCTTCCACAACGCAAACACTGAACAGCCCCAATACCCGGCACCCGGCTCTTGGAGGGAGAAGACGTAAAAAAAAAAGATGTTGTTGCCACCCTTCACCAAGCTCGTAATCCAGAGCAGACTTCCACATGCACACAAATCAAAACACATGGAAAAACCCCTTTGAGCAACCAAGGCCCGCGGATCATCTCAACCACGATACCAACACTACACAATGAGGAGGGGGAGCGAGACAGAGTGGCACTGATGACAGGAAGATAGAGTGTAATAGAAGTTGTGGATAGAAACAAGAAGAGAAAGAAGCACTTGGTACTAGGGCAGCTGTATAGACATACTGTACACTGGAACAAATACTGAGCCACAGAGAACAAGAGAACAGACAGAAAGAGAAACCAGCGATGGCCAAAAACACTTGTAAAAATGGAGAGGCCAGCAGAAACAGAGCTCAGGATATCGAAGTATTCTCTTGCAGTGTACTATAAGTTTGAAGGTGCAAAATACACTTTTGAAAAGCAATAGTGAGAATTCAACTACAATTCCAGTAACCTGTAGACATTTAAAATGTTTTAAATGATCTGTCTGATGACATCTTAAGAGCTTTATTTTCCTCAAAAGTTGATGTTGCTCTTTGTATCTGGGGCTGTTTTCTTTAAATGCCTCTAGTTTGTGGGATGCCGTGCTTCCTAACCTTATGAATTAACTGCAAACATTTATCTTTGGCTTTCCCTTTAAACTTGAAACTATTGCTGTTCCTTCCATATTCATATCACCAATATTACTTCTGTTGATTTTGATTTCCTCAGTGTGTTATTTTCTGTTAATCTTTAATTTCACTTTGATACAACAAACCTCACAGGCAACGCAAGAAAGAAAGGAGGAATACATATAAATACAAGAAACGCAAGGTCAGAGAGGCAGTAGACTGGCTGGTAGGGTTGAGAGAAGTGGGGTGGTGACCTGCAGGGTTTTTCCATGGCTGCTGACACAACCCAGCGCACCCAGAGGTTGAGGCAGTGTTCATTTAGTCTGCATTTGTTTAATTTTAGTCCTACTCTCAGTCAAACTGAGCAAAGTTTTGTGGAACTTTAGAACAGGCACCGCTTGTGTGATCCTACTGCAGCCAATTTGTTTCCACTGCAGAAACAGTGAAGACTGTATTCAGTGTGACTATATTTTCACTATCTAGTCCATTTCAACTGCTTACTAACCAGGAAGTTAATCTCACTTTGGATTGAGGTTGAATTGCATTTAGTAGTGTGTCCAAACCAGTATACGGTGCTCACAACCACCAAAAGCGACTTTTTCACTGAACTGACCAAGATTATGACTATAACTCAAACACATGCAGATTAAAACGAACCCTGGTCTGAGGAGAGTGAGGAGATCCACATGGCCCAAGGAACAGCCCGGGACACGGCCCGGACTCACCACACCCCATTGAAACTGGTAGCCATTGACACGGCCAGGAGCACCATGCCAGTGGCGCTGCTCTTTACCTGAGAGGACCGTCAGCCAGCCGGACTGGTTAACCTCTCCAATATAATTGGAGACTTTACAAATATACTCCCCCGCATCCTCCTCTGTCACATTGCGCAATGTCAGCACTTCCACATCAGAACTATTTATTCCTGAACGCTAGAATGGAAGAATCAATGACAAAGGACAACAGTGGATTACAATCTGCCTCAGCTAGGCCAGTAAATGACATAAAATACATTTGGGAGCCCATCAGTAACAGAAGGCAGTGTGACATTAAACTGATCCTTTCTCGAAAGCTGTAGTGGAGCAGAGCACATTCAGAAACTTTCCTCGGTTTGTCAAAACATAAAGCTCAAATTAACAAAAGCCTCAGACGGGTTGATTTTTTTCAAGCTCAAGATTTGGGATAAATGTGCTATTTGCAGACAGACATGTCCTTTGGGTTGCAAGATTTTGAAATTAAGTTAATCTTAAAATTACTACAGTGTGGTAAGAAATACCATAAGGCATTTGCATACGCATAAAGTAAGAAGCCTCCTTAAAGTATGTAGGAATCCTTTTAGGAAAGTTTAAGCCATGTTTAAGCCATTCAGGCTCCTCACCACAATTCAGTAAAAGAGATGGTGCAGATGTGTCACCTGGTGCAACATCTCTGATACATGCTGACCAACCTGTCACACCACAGAGAGAACAAATCGGCCCGCTCACACGGCAACATTTCAGAGCATCAAACTTTTCTCTCTGTGCTCTCCTGTTTTCCGAAAATAAGTAAAATTCTGCTCCAGAATGAAAAGCTTCAAAAACAACTTTGTTAATGCCATTCAAACAAAACTCGCTCTGCTTCAGTGCAATCCATTCTGAAACTCCTGGAAGAGACAGGCTCAAGTCCCCTGTGCCATACCTTCAGCACGCGGACATAGGGCTGGCCATCCGGACCGTAGCGGCTGCCGTTCTTTTCGATGTGCTGTAGCCACTGGATGTGTGGCTGCGCATCGCTGTACACCTTGCAGACGAAGCGGGCGTCTTCACCGACGCGCACTGTTGTGTTGGCAGGCAGGCCGGCCTGCAGGATAGGCCGGTGAGGAGAACGCTCTGCGACACAAAGGAGAAGGAAACAGGTGAAACACGGCCAAATGAAACCCAAGTGTGTGGGCTACAAACTTCATTAAGAAAACCCTAAGGGTCAGCCTCATCTCTGTAGGGAAGCGGACCTGAAATATTATAGTACAGGGACTCCCAATTCTGGAACCCTGAGTCCAAAATCCAGCAGTTTTCAATGTCTGTTGAAACCTCCAACAGCTCAACAGATCCAGTTAAATCTGAAAATGGTTTAGGCATTAAGAAAACATAGAAACCTAACAGATGCTGTACTATTGGATTTGGGCACCCCTGTGAAAGGCAAAATGAATATGTATTGAGTAACTCCAATGACCTGTTTTCCCAGAGAAATGACCTGTTGGATGAGGCACTGGGCCTCTGTTTTACCCACTGTCCTCCAGTCTGCAGGCTGTCCTAAATGAGGGCTGGGTCTCCTCTTGGTTATTTGACAAAATAACTGGTGGATACATTCATTTTATCTGGCGTAATTCAGACAATTACACAGCCTGTGTGAGAAAGTGATAGGTCACTTCCCTGGGGACTTTAAACAGCACAGGGCTCAGAACAGGCAGCTGACGTTTCTGCTAACAAAGCAACTGCCCGTATCTTGTGTTTACTATTTTTAATAAAAGAGTCATGAATAACTGAAAATATTTTAACCTATAAAATAGGTATAACCTAAACAAATAAAAATATGTCTCTAAGTGCAACGTGTTCTTTTATCATATCACACTAGGTTTATTTGGAAAACAAAAACACTTTTAAGTCTCATTTCAAAAAGGGAGCTAATCTTTCAAAGATACAGTCAAACTTCTGCTCTTCCCATTGGGTTTATGCGGTGTTGGTTCATTACAACACAGCCCTTTCAGGGTTAACAGACATTTGGGTAAACTACTTCAAGGAACACTTATTAAGCTGCATTCTTTCACAAGCAAACATTTCGACTTCAAATCCAAACAACAGTGCCTTTTAACAATGCTCTCTTTCACACACTGTAATAGGGCTGGCTGCCCACAGGCCTCCTTTGGGAAGGCTGCAGTAACGTCACTCTGGCTGGCCGCACTGCAGGGGAGAGTCCTGCCTTCTCTGAAGGGGGAGAAAGGTGCATCCGCCCTGATCGTCTGTGGCTCTGTGCCTGTGAGGGTTAGCCTGCTCTGCGATCCCGGTCAGATATCTCATGTTCTGCTGCCCTTGTCGTCTGGGTTCCACAGCGTGACCCGGCAGAACTCATTATCTCTCAATTTGAAGCCCAGATCAGAGAGGTGTACCATAAAATCAAAGGGGAACGACCTGCCAAACATGTACAGTATGCTCCAATAGAAAAATATGCTCCACATTCTGAATGCGGCAAAAACAACCCATCTAAAATCTATTTTAAAGTGAAACAGATTCATGCACTTTCTTTTTTCCCCATGCTACGCTCTCTTGCAAGATATAAACCTTTTCAATGATTTTCAGGGAGTCCAAAACAAAATTATTTTCTTGGCAGAAAAAGAAAAGTTTTTAACAGAACATAGTACTGTAGTTTTGAGATTGTGCACTTGAGAGATTGAAAGTCAATGCTTCTCTACAGTGCCCGGAACATAGATTCACCATTGCTGACTCTCCTACAATCATCGCTTGGGGGTTCCTCTGCAAATATGTCTAATCTGGTCATAACAGGACAGCTACATCAGTACACCACACACAAAGTGTTTGCATCTAGTTTCAGCCGGGCGTTGCAGTTCATCTGTCAAAAATTTATACTTTTATGACTAAGTTCTCACGCTTTGGACTGCAGAAGAACAACAAACCATGCAAAACAAAATACCTAATTCAAGAAAACACAGTGACATAAAACCGGTGAAATAAAAGAACTATAAATTAAAATACTGTGATGAACATAAACAATACATTCACCATCAACCAACATTATAGCATTTACGTATTCAAGATTGTAATTGTGTTTATGCATTTTGGAAACCTGAGACCAGACTGAATTGCAGACAATGCATAACCAGAGCGCACTTCACTTCAAACGAAAGCTATCAGATTCTTTTCGAAACCCACATGTGGAACAGGAGTTTATAAAGTGATAAAAACACACAGGATGGCAGTGTAACTGAGTACCCTGTTGAGTTAGCTAGCCCTCATGAAGCACAGCATCTCCATGAGATATAAAGACAAATCCGAGCTCCTATTCTCTCATGTCAACTTTCATTTCAATAGGTAGGACTGAGCAGTGAAGCAACAAAGTAGGGAGCACTACATGATAAAAATAATTTCATGAAGCCTTAAATATACATATCTTTATATTTATCACATATATATATATATTATCATCAGCATTATACAGCAGTTATGGATACATAGCATATGAAATATTTATTTAGATATTAAGAAGGCTTTAGATAAAGTTTATTAAAAATTGAAAAGGGAATTATATAATCAACACATCATTTCAATGGTGACTGCTCTTCATAATTTATATTAGTGATCTAGATTCTGGTAGAGTTACTAAATTTGTCAATTTCACAAAGATACCAAATTAGGAGAATTAACAAACACTGTAAAAGCTGTAAAGCAAAAAATGGCGGATGACATTTAATGTAGACAAATGTGCAAAGTGTTACTTGAGGAAACTATGCTGACACCTCATTTACTTCTTCTACACAATGTGGGGAAGCAATAAAAAATGCAAAATGGATTTTCATGTGCAAAACAGAATTTAAATCAAAGGATGTTACAATCAACAGTATTATCCCCTTGTAGCCTTATCGCAGAATGTAAGTCTGGGCTTGTTCAGTACTGGGATAGAAGATCCCTATGGAAAACCAGGTTATTCTTGGTGGTGATGGTGGACCAGTAGGTGACACTCTTCTCCCTAGACCAGAATTTACAATTTAATTCCCCATTATGATGACCAGAATGCTCTGCTGTAAGAATCATCATCACCAGGATGAGAAATTAAACCAAGGTCCTGACTGTGTAGTCATTACACCTCCTCTTCTTCATACAAGGAGGGGTTCATAAGAGCTAAGACCTTTATGTCCTGGCTAAATTTCACAGTCAGCTTTTGCACTCCTGACACTTCACATTTTTCACCTTTTCACTTTTTTTGCAGGTGTAGAATGGTAGCCACACGTGACCTAGGTGGGTGCTGCACTTCAGTAGTGGGCAAGGTTGGTCTTTTCGTATGTATAACTGTGAGATCCTTTGGAAAGAAAAGTGCTTTCTTTGAGAAATGGCTGGGTGAGATCATCTATCCTCATGCCCTAGCTTTAGGGATAAATTAGCTAATAAAAACAAAATGGACTACTTGCGCATGCTGGCCTCCTCTCATTTCAAAACCTCATATTCTTTTCATTGTTTCTTTCCATTGTCTACACTGCTGAACCACCCCGAGTTTCTTCCACAGACGTCTGTTTTTGCTACCAAGATCCACTTTCCTCCTATTAAACCTCATGCTTTAATCTTCTGGATTTTCTTCTTGGTGATTTTTTTGTCTCATGTGATTTGTCCGGAAGCCCTAATTACTTTGGGATTATTCACACCACAACATTTTACAGCAGGTAAAATTCTTGAAGCAGTTGTCTGAAATGAGTACTATTGATTTGGATCATCGGAACATTTGAGATCGTACCTGATAAAGATATGGGCTGGTAGATGCTTTTGAATCAGAACAAGGAAACAAACTCCTTTTACCCAGCTTGCCACAGTAGGCTATGTTGATGGTTCAGAGTGGAAAGGTGGGCTGGGGGGCATTGTGCTTATTCTGTGATGTGAGGTTGTAACTGGGTCACACAGCAGTTGACGGTGGGGCAGAGGGAGGAGAATCAGAAGAATCAGAGTAGATGGAGAGTACAACGCAGGCTCTGCTCATTTATGTCACAAAGCTCCTACCAATGATCACAAGTTCTTCATCACCTTGGCTTCTGTCACACAGTCATCAAAACTCAACAGCTGAAAAGTTTGATGTGCTTACCCATCTCAAAGCAGAGTTTATTATCTATATTTCAGTTTCCAAACATAATTTCAGTTTCCAGTCTCACCACAGACAAAATCTGTTTGGAAACTACATGTTATTTTTGATTCCTTCCTTGCAGCTGGAAGCTTTACGCAAGTTAATATTAGTTAACTTATTTCTTGTCATGTATGCCACATAATAAAAAAAACTACTTGGTCACTAATCTGCACAGCTGCATGTCTGCAGCAGCTTAAACATTTACTTATTTAGAACCTACATGTTGGCTGAATTATAAACCACTCTAGTACACTGGCAGTCTTCCTTACAGGCATTGATGTCTGCTCTCAATAACAGGATATGAGCACAAATCTAAATTTCTGACAAACTAAAATGGACACTCTATAGTCACTTACTTAATTGCTTTTCTATTTAAAATATCTAAAATAGTCTGAGTTTCATACAAAGCTTTAGCTAATCCCAGACAGCAGAACTGAATGAGCAAGTGGATATAAACCGTCTGAGTAAACAGAAACCGATGGCTTTTCCACAAGCAGCTCCAGACACAGGCGCCCGTCTAAACAGTCTCCCCTCCAGCTTTCATCACGCAGGCTTAGCCTAGTGTGCATTTCCATGGTGTGGATCGAAAACAAGACTAAATTGAGTTTGTGGTCTGACGTCAGTACAAGAAAAGGATCTTATTCTTGCATTCTTTGCTTTGTTTCAGGTTGGAACTTGGCAACCCCACTCAGGCACAGCTGGAACTGGGGCTCCTCTGAAGGATATGGGATACACTGCTAAAAAAGGGAACTGGACAAACCTGCAATCGGCAGGAGCTCCCAATGCACAGTTCTGCACGAACCCACACTCTCTCCTGTGTTCACTGAACTCTTTAGGATTCAAATAAAAGAAGCCATGTTTTGATCTACACTTTCTGTGTAACCCTTTTATTATACTTCTAATTGCCACAGGGAAAAGAAGCCCAGATCTAGACAGAATTATTGTTGCAGATTAGCTGCAGACGTTTTCTACTTTCATTATGAAAGCTGTGACATTACTCACTGAGCAGTTGTACATTCTGTGGCTTTAAACACAAACAGACAGAAGACCTTTGGCACTAATGCTGACCTCTCAAGCTAAAAATGTCAGACTTTCCCCCCGATTGAATTCCTGGCCATCACAACAGATTGCCTGTCACTTGGGAGCAGACCTAGGGGTCTGTGTGGCATTTTCTTAATTGTTCCTTTGACTCTCCACAAAAGCTGCCAAAAAGCAATCCAATGCCAGGTGTACAAACTCGCCCTCAGATTTGTCAACAGCTCCAATAAAAGCTCCCTTATTCTCTAAGCTCTCAGTCCCTGGACAAGCCAGCATGCAGATTCCTGCCTGCTCCCCACCTGCTTCATCCCAGGCCTTCGTCCAGGCCTCATTCCTCTGGACTTTCCGTGTAGCTTGCAGCACCTTCTCGCACACAAACAGCCTGGCTCAGCTCAGTGTTGCTCTGGAAGGCTGTGTCCCTTATGAAGAAGTATTCTTTTTCTCACTTCATTTTTAAAACTTTGGGAAATCTGTTTTTTTTTAACGAGTGAGAAAATGATCTCAACTTGAGGAGGATAAAGTCTAAGTACTATACAGTACGCACTAGCTGGAATAATGACTTAGGTTTACAAAGTAGAGAGTTTCAGTTTTCAAAAACATGCAGCTGATGAAAGAGAGGAGGCTTGCATGATTTATGAGACCAGTAAATAAGCTCCCCCACTACAGAGTCACAGTGTTAACATACATATGGAGTAACCCATGTTTCTTCCTCATTAGCAGCGTTATTGCTGGTCCCCATTGCAATCCACTGGCGTAATCTCAAATATCCACACCACTACCGTCCTCTTCATCTGCTCACTGTGCCCCAGGAGGAACAGGGGCTGGGGCTACTGAACCAACAAGGCCAGAAACATTATGCCTACTGCCTCCCCAGAGTCCACAGCATATTACAGTTTCGGACTTTTTTTGTATTTCTTCAACAATTTGTTGTTCTGGAAGAGAATGACAGCTCTCTCAGCTCTACTGGAGCTCCCCCCTACTCTTCAGAAAACTAATAACTCAAAAACCTCTCACAACACAAAATACAGCAAAAAGATTAAAATTTAACCATTTTAATTTCCAATAACCTTCCTCACAGTAACACAGGAGAACAAGCTCGTATCTCAAAACAGAACAGTGCTTCGTGTTTGCACAAGAGCTGAGCAAAGGTTACAAACCAATATTCAAAATACTGCAGGAAATTGATTTTACTGGTGAAATGTGTATGTATGTGCTAAAGTTGAATTCACATTCCTGAAGCAGAGTCTTTCTGCTTTGAGCTGCATGACTCCAGGCTGATTGATCTGTGTTTGTGTTTTCCTCCCCTTCTTCCTGTTTGTCTTGTTTTGTCCTGAGCTGCCTCCTCAACCCACTGCCTCCCTGACCTTCCGGGCCACACACTCTAGCAGTCACAGCACACGTGGACAGCTCTGCCTGACACCCAGCCGGCAGGTATCCGTTTACACGGAATACCAATGACGTTCATCTTTCACGAGAAAATGAGCTATGTGTCGAATATGCTGTGAGTGCCAATGCAGAAACTGGAAGCCCACAGACTCTCAGATTAGCATCCCGGGACTGGCCCCCCATTCACCACCACAATTCCCATCTTCCCCTCTATTTCCTTACATCGCTAAGCTTCTGTTCTCCAATCGCACACCTGTCTGCCTCTGGCGACAGCAGAGACGGAAGGATTCCCGAGTGACTTGACGTCCACACTTGGGAGAGTACTAAGGTCAGCTCTTCACACTGCACTGCCTCTCGGCACCACCACCCATGGAAAGAGCTGCTTTCAGAATCCTCACAGGTAGAGCCTTTCAAAAAACATTTCTAGTTTTTTTTTTACCTTTCTTAAAAAAATGCAACAAATGCAGCAAGTTGAAAAGAATGATTTAAATATACTGCCAAGACACTGCAAGCACTGAGCCATATGTGGCCAGTAGGAGCGCAGAACTGTGACAAAAGTAGGTGCAACTTACCAACTACATCCAGCGTGTAGGTATGGTTGATGGAGCCATACTGGTTTTCCACCACGCAGGTGTAGTTTCCTTTATCTGAGGGAACCACGCTCTCCATGATGAGGGTCCAGTGCTGGTGTCGGACCTGTAGAAAAAAAAATTACCAGGACTTAACTCCCTTCTCTAAAATACCTCAGTGTGGAAGATGTAAACATGCCATATTCATTACAGCAGTTCAAGCTATTTTGTATTTGATTTGATATCTGTTTAATTAAATACAAACAACGAAAGTTAAGAATATCAGCAGTGCTGTTTTGTTCCATTTTAGGTTTTTTTTCCCCAAGCAAGAAGTTGTACCTTCTCTTAATGGGAAATCAACTGGGAACAGTACTCGGAGCCTCCATATGGCAGAGGACTCCAGGAGGTTGGGCATCCCATTTGCCCAATATCCCAATGCTCTCAATATGTGGGAGGTTCCATCAGGCTCGTTATATGTAAACAGTTGCAAGTGTGAAGACAGATAGATCCCAAATTATCACGCATGAGCTGCAAAGGTCCCACTGGACTGAGCAGCCCCACTGAAGCCCCTTTTAAGAAGCACCAGAGCCTGCAGTATACCAGGCAGTGCCAGACAAGTTCCAATTCAGACTGCCGTAATTATACGCCTTGCTCTTGTGCAAATGACTTACTGGAAAAGCTGAAGCCCATTTAAATAATTTAAAAAAATGAAACAGTTCTTAATAGCTGGATCTGTCTAATGCAAACATCCTGCACAAAAAATACTTATAAACCCCTACAAACATAAGACATGTTGCGGACAAGAAGAGGCCAATCTGACCAAGATGCTCATTTGGTGGGAAGCCACTGATCAATTCCAGGAACTCTTACACTGTTTCGCAGAAGTATGACCATTGACTCAGAAGGCCTCTGCCCAGAGATTTAAAACTAAAAGCACCTGAATAGAAATCGCTTCGGACAACAATATTGTACCTATTTAGACAACCTGATTATGCTGTATTAAATTGTTACTTTTGCAATGGTCCGTTTTAATAGCAAGACACAGCCCAGCAAAACCTCAATACCTGTAGCATTCCCCTGTTCTACTGTATGGAAAAAGCCAGGTGGTGAATGTGACAACAGATCTCTGGCACAACCTCTCAGTCCAACCTAAGAGCCTGATGACAGAGATTCTCCACTCCGGCCAGCCCGGTGTTCCAGAGAGAATTCCTCTCTTCCCGAGAGAAACGCTCAGTTACTTGGGTCACAGCATTGAGAGTCACATCTGCTGAAATAACCCTGCAGCCTAGAGCCAAACAGAGCAGCTGTCAACCCTGCAGACTGTACCTTGACCCTCAATATGGTCACGCAAGATGGGAAGGTGGACTCCTCGGTGTTTAGGGCAGGGAGCACACCTACATTTAGGGAGACAAGTCCAGATCCTTGAGGGCTACAGGGTCTTCACAGGTTTCATTCCAATTTAACCTCTCAGCTAATTTAAATAACCCAGATATTATAAATTGAACAAATATTAACAGGTGGCATTTTAAAAGAAGCAAGGATTTTAAAGGAAAGCATCCACTTAAACATTTCAGGCCTAAAAAGAAGAGTAAATTCTTTCCAGTTAATGTAATAATGAGACCAATGAAATAAGTGAGGTTGTGGTGGAAAGAAGGCCCTGCAGGCCTCCAGGAAGTAAGCACAATACCATTGCTACACCCCTGACAGGCAGGGGAACCTACAGAAATAATCTGGGGGGCTTGTGAGGTTTGACAGGTTTTGTAATGTTCTGCAAAAAATTCAAGACACTTTACAAACTTTATTGTAGAGGCATTCCATATTTTAAGACAACATTTTCCTTTCATATTCTCCTTGACATTTGAATGAAAAAAAACAATTACAAAATATTTAAAGAAATGTCAGTTACCTCTTCAAATAATGTTAAGCCCTTCCAAATTCTATGCTGAACTAAATGAAAACCTTTATTAATAAAAATGAGTCAAAGCCTTATCTATGACTCTGATGTTCAAGTATTTCAAAAACAGATAAAACATTCTTAAGTGCTTTACTCTTTGAGATTTTGTCTTTTTTTAAAGTCCATAATGCCGGGTTTGTTTACACATACCTATACCTCTGAAAGGCACATTTTTTTTAGAAATGTGCAAATACAACTTTGGCCAAGTATAGAGAATGGGAACAAAGGCTCGATCTTTAGTTAACCTTTAACTGTGTTTAAAAGTTCAGTGGGTTTGCGAATGCCTTTGTCCCCTCTAGGATGGGGTTAGGAAAATATCAGACCTCCAATCAACTCCTTCGCTGGACTTTAATTAAATCAAAATTAATTTAATTTCAAACTAATAAATCAATAAGCAAATGTGATGCTATAACTCTGCAATAAATGTGTTCTCTTCTGACCAAGAGGTTTGTGTTGCAGTTGTGGACGAGGCTTAGGAAGTAGTATTGTACTGACAGACCTGAACATGGTACAACAAAGGAAAAACAGAATTCCTCCAGCCGCTAACTGCTCACCATGTGGTATTCCAAACAAAGTGTTGTATTCACACATACAGGTCGGCATTAAGTTTACACCTTTATGCTCTTAAGAAAACAATACCATTAAGATGTGAAGGATCAAATTATTTAGAGAGTGCTAGTTTCTGAGTACTTCCTCATATCCTAAATAAATATTTTTTTTGTTATGTAACATTAGGAGATTGACCCTGGCTGTCCACAGTGAGAGTGACTGCACTGTAGGAGAAAGCCACTGACAGCCGATTTCTCCCTCCATAGATCTGTCAACTAAACCGGATGACAGGATCCATTTGGAAAGCAGGCTCTAAGGCAAGCTGTCGATCAAGTGTCCTGCGCACACTGCTCTGTTAATGCATTATCCTGTATAACGATGAATGCATTGAGGATACTCTGGGATAAGAGACCAAAACTGGATTTTCTCTTTGCACCCATTGTTTTATACTAAGACACAGAAAACACTAAGAGTGTTTGAATGTGTTTCACTACGTGTGAAATGTAAATGAGACATTCTATTTTAATTAAGTTAAAAACGAGGCAAATTCTAACAAGACTGAGGCTGTATTGACTGTCCCTCACCTTCAACTCTGAAAATATCTCAACCATATTTTGATGGTCCTGGAAACTGTGCAAGTACTCCAGTGAGAAATCTTGAGGTCATTTTTCCACCTAGGCCCTGCACTTTATTTTCTTGTTCATGGAGTTGTGAAAGTGTCTTTTTTAATTTTTGTATCATTGCATGAATCTGTAAAGATCTCTTCCAGTGTGATTCAGAAAAAGGCTAATGCCTACTTTGGTCTTTTACAATCTAAATTATTGCAAAGCAGTGGTAGCCAGTGTATCTGAACAAATGTTTAGCAAGTTGCATCATGCTTCAGCTGCTTGGATTGTGAGCAAAACTTAAATGCAGGACCATCTATCACTTGATTGTTACACTGGCTCAATTTGACAATAAGACTCAAGATATTGCTTGCTCACATTTAAGAACTTGAATGGTTTGTCTCCTGACTACATGAGTGAGATGTTAACCCACTATATACCTACAGTATATGTAATTTGTGCTCTTCGGACTTCTTTCAGTTGCCAATAGAAGTCTCCTGTAATTTCTGTTCTGTTGCTTCAAGACTGTGAAATGATCTTCAAGCCCATATCAGATCTTGCAAATCAGTCGGTGCTTTCAAATTCGACCTTAAAATTCCTTTTTACTTCTGTGCACTGTTTTAATTTGCATCTACCTGTCTTTTTTGTTTCATTCTATGGTGCCTGGAGATGATGCAACACGAAAGGCACCATATAAAAATGAAATAATTGCTGTTTTTGGTATAAAAGGCAGCAAAGCATTTTTGGGAAGTGATTTTGAGTGCACAGGTTGCACCTCATGTACAGTACCTTCAAGATGTATTCATACCTTCAACAATATAGGAACAAAACAGCAGAAAGATTTGCAGATTGGATCATGTGTTTTGTGTAAAAAAACACAGTCATAGTTTCCATAATGCAATTAAAAATATTAAGGTCACATTTTTTCATAACTCAAGGTATTACTTTAAAATCCAACAAAAACAAACCTCCAACAACATTCTTCTCTTTGGAATGCAATGGAAATCTTCTGAACTACATGCAGTAGTAACCTCTAACAGTTTGTTTTCCTGGGGTTTAAAAGGAGGTAACATACAGAAAGTATTCAGAACTAGCATGCTTCACCATATGTACATGCATCAATGTAGGTAAATTATTTCCACAGGCTGGGGTATGATGATAAAAAGAATCCACAAAAATCTAAATCTACAGTACACTTTCCAGTGAACTGCCCGTTATTAAGAAATTTAAGGCTATTGATCTAGTGGCAATCCTGCCAGGAAGAAGGCATAGATATCTTGCCACCAGGGCTGTGAGACAAGTGGTTCAAGAGTCAACCATAAATCTGAAGACAGCAGCTGGAAATCTCCAACTCAAGCTGGCATCTGCAGGATACAAAGTGTCGAAAAGCTCAACATCGCCCACATGAATGTGGCTTTCATAGCTAGGTTGCAAGGGAGAAACCTTTTCTCAGTGCGAACCACAAAGAGAGACAACTCAAATTTGTCAAATTACATCTCAATGATAACAGCCTTTTGGCCAGATGAAATGAAAATTGTACTATCGGGACATGCTCATTCATGTTATGTTTGGCTTAAATTAGGTGAAGCTCATGTAGAGAAAATGCTCCAGCTCACTGTGAATTACAACAGGGGGTCTATTATGTTTTGGGTTGTTTTCATCTATGGTTCCTGTAAACCTTGTTAAGACAGTGGGAATTATGAACTCCAGCAAGTACCAAGACCTTTTGGCCAAACACCTGGTTCCCTCTGCCAAGACGCTCGAGCAGGGCTGAAAATCAACATTCCAGCATGACAACGATCCAAAGCATACATCCAAATCCAAAAAGAAATGGTTAACTGCGCATAAAAAAAAATGTTCTTGGCTGGCCATTTCATTCTGCTGTTCACAAATAAAAACCAAAGGGCCTGAAGAACCTAGAGCAGTTCTACCTGAAGGGATCTCACATCACTTTGCAGGCGGTGTCGTGTCAGTGTTATTCATCTCAGAGGAGGATTTAGAAAGTTCTAACTACAAGGTTGTGAATAAATGTGACCCCCGTGCTTTCTGACCTTAAAATTATTGATGTCAAATATAACTCTGCTCTAAAATCGCATTGCTTTTCTTGATCCTGTTTCACCAGGGGTATGAATCCATCTGGAGGTCACTGATACAGGTTGACAGTTACTATGACTAGAGCAGACGCAAACCAAAAGTAAATTCAATCATGTCATTATCATACCTTGTAGCCCCCCATGCGGTCCTCCTGCCGGAAGTTCCTGCCGTTCTTCAGCCACCTCAAGTGGGGCCGGGGGTTCCCCCCTGCCGCACACCGGAACTTCACTGTGTTCGCAGCCGGCACCGCGTGCAGCCTCTTCTCCATCTTCTCTGGCATGGTCCAGTATGGTGCCCCTGCAGGACATCAGGATGCGTGGTCATTAGAGTAACATATACCACGGAGGGCTGAATATGGACTGGGCAATGGGGACAGGGTGTCACTTGTGTCTCAAACGAAACAACAATTGTGGACTGATATTCAACCTGCCCTATCCTGCAGCAGCCCTGTTTTCACTCATTTACTGTACAGTAGGAGTTGGTGACCTCAGTCCAACTCGATCATAATTAGGCACACAATCCGACAATCTTCACAGATGAACACCTGTTGAAAAGCACTTACAAAATCTGGCTGACAATGGGCTGACCTTGAAACAGGTGCCAAGGCAGGGAAGAGAGTACTGACTCTGGTGAAAGCTTATGACTGATGGCCAGGAAAACAAATAAAATGGGAAGAGGCCCTTCAAATCTGTCCTGCTTTGGCAAACAAACACTCATACACTTTCTGTAACAGTGGATCTGTAACATACACTTAACAACCCATTCATATACAGGAGGCTAATCAGCATCAAGTCACCAGTTGAGTGCTGTGTCTGATGCCTTGGCCAACAAGTAATGCAAGACTTTGCTTTCTGTTGTAGGCTCAAACTCTATTCTTGGTCTCTTCATACAGTGGCCTTCCAAGTTTATTTCTGTCTGTCTGTCTCTGTGCAGTTGGCTCATCCTATATCACATAGTCTTAGCTCTACGGAAGCCAGGAGGAAAATGACATCAGCAGAGGGAATGCTCATGACCTTTATATGAAGTAAGAATAACCTTGCCATCAACACAGCATTAGTCTTTCACACTAAGTTAAATATACAATCTACACTTTAACATCAAACACAACTACAAGCCAAATTTAGGCATTTATGCATTGCTACTGAACAATGCAGTTAATAAGGAACAAGTAATAGCTTTATTCCATGCTGAAAAAAAGAAGAAAGAGAACACAACATTTCGGCCGTGGAGCCTTCTTCAGGTGTGCAGTTAATATAAATGCAGTTATGCAGTTAATAGTCTTAAATAAAAAAATAATACGAGTGTTTGAAAATATATAAAAATATAGTTTTGGTTTCATCCAGTACTATGGAAAGTTATGCATAAAACATTCAAGAATCATGGGCAATATCCAAAACTAAAGCCAAGAAAAGTAAGCAGACCATGTACAGTTTTTTAGTTTTCTAATGGAAATTAATCAACGCCTGTCAACATAATGTGTGAATGTTTTTGTTCTTTCTCTGACATCAGCTCAGTGCACGACAGTCAGGGATTAGACTATCTTCTCCGATAGAAAGCAAACATTTTCTGATCAAGCTGCAGTTACAAGAAAAAAGGTAACCGATTAATTATTTAAAAACAAATAACTCACTATCTTCAACAGATGATTAAATTTAGTGTATTTATATAAATGTATAAATTAAGGCCCAAGTATTTTAACTGAACAATGAGATTTTTATTCAACAGATGATTTCATGTCACAATATACTTTTTATGCCAATAAGAGTAACATTTTATTTCATATAGATCCCTAATATTTCACCAGGAAAGTAGATCACAGGATATTACATAAACCGCAAAGCTTAGCAAACTAATGCTGCAAATATGGCTTTTAAAAAACGAACATAAACTATTCCTTCAAAATATAATGTTACAAAACGGAAATTTCATTATCTGTGAAAGAACCACGTTACTCAGTTACTCTCTCTCTCTCAGCTCACAGGCATAAATTACTGTGAACTTTCTCCTGGCAACAGAATTGCTTCACCCCTTCTGTTACAATACAAGGAAAATCCTCTTCTAGGACTCCAAGAAACACAACACAGACCATCTCATTAAACTAGTCCCTTTCCAACCATCCATTCTATTCCCCTTCTGCGGGAGGAGGACCCCTCGCAGGTGCCTCCCTACAGACCAGCACCAGGTCACTGGTCTAAATCTAAATGGAAAGCTATTGCAGAGAAGAGAAACACTGGTCTATTGCCATACATTTCAGTCAGGGGCATTTAATGGCATGTAGATTACACTCAGTAAGAGGGGTAGAAAAATTCCTTGGATATCATTAATTGGTCCAGAGACAATGGGCTTTCAGAGTTCAAGACTACACAAATCAATTGGAGCCCAGGGCTCCTTAATCACTTCTGGAGACTCCTGACAGGGGCTGCAGAGGCACACGTGTCCAAGGCCGGACGCTCTCGCTCTGGGGACTCAACCCACTGAGCTATGCCGAGGAGAGCAGGCTCATTAAGATTAAACAGCCAGAGGAACCAGCGAACAGCTTGAAACAGAGGAAGGAAGAGGGTCATCTGATCCCTGTTAACAAGGGGTCAGAAAGCTGCCTGCACGCACACTTTTAATCAAGCCAAACACTGTAAAGGGTCACATAACTTAAGGGTCTTTAAATATTGAAATTATAGTAAATGTAATTGCTCCACAGCCCCTGGGGCAGTCTGCATTAAAAGGCTGATCATGATAAAGGTTTTCCAAACTGATCCCTACATGTAGGTGAATGACAGACATCGTTGATTCGACCATTACAATTACACATCTAGGCTAGATTAGGGCATTAACAATGTAAGGACATTGTCCACCCCTGAACCACGAGCTTCCACAAGTATTGCTAAGATCTACAGAATGGCATTAAAGTTGTTCATTTACATCTGAGGATGAAAGCTGACACTTTTTCTCTGCTTAGTAAGTCTCAAAGCTATCTATGCTGCTGTCCCACAACTGCAGGGTCTCCCACAGCCCCTCCGCACCTGTGAGCAGGACTTCCTATATCACACAAACAGATACAAAGAGGAAGAAGAGAAGGGCTCCGCTCGGACCTTTAACCATCTTCTAGTGTTTCAAAGCCTACAGCCAGCGGGAACTCTTGAACGTAAAGGAGGGAATGAAGAAACCAAAAACCTACAAAAAGAGTAAATTAGATGCAGCCTAACATTTGAAGGAAGGATCAAAACGTCCTTCAGTTACAGCACTGCTGCACATCCTCCCTACACACAGCTCTCTCGAGCCCATGGACCTGGACGAGAGGCGCCTGGTCACGGAAACATCAGCTCTCCCACAGAAGGCGACAGAGGAGGAGAGGGAGAAGGAATCTCCACTGGGCCCCAGCAGGACTTTTTTTCATTCTTTCATATATACGTCTACCCCTCTCCTTCACACAAGAAAGCTTTGTCCAGGACACCAAGCTAAACAACTTTAGCCTAAAAGGCAAACTGTTTACGGTTTTACAGACCAATCTGCTTCCAGTGCTGACTTTTCCCATCAGTCTGAGCTAGAGTGCCTGGGAAGTGTCTTAAGTCTTAAGTGCTACTGTAGTGAGCAGGAGTGGGAGGGATTCCTTTATCCACAATTCCAATTGAATTGAATTACTGTGAATAACAGAAACATGTTACACAGCCATGTTGTTGAAGGCTACACTCTGGAAACGTTCAAAACCCAACTCAGATTAAACACCTAGAATTTGTTACCTTAAGATCATTTTAAAACCTATTCCTTTTCTTTTCCAATTCCTGGGTCATTCAAACAGTATTGTGCACATAAATATAATGTAACCTAGGGTATGGAGTGTATGTTATTTCACAACCATTTATTCCTATTTACTATTCAAGACCTCATCATTTATCAACATTTACAACATTTTTGCTGAAAAGTTTAAAGATGGATCCTAAAAAAATTCGCTGAATCAAACTGATGAGATCTGTATACCTGCATTTTCTGCCTTGCTGCTGTGCACTTTTATTCATAACATGACCAAATAAGTTCATATGGTTTTATTTTCCTTTCCTTAACATTAATCACCAACCATCATAACATTCAATCAGCTAAGTCTGTAGGCTATGATAAACTACTTTAAATGCATTGAAATCAATTTTCATAAACCTTGTTTAGCCTCATAAGGCAAAAATCAACAACACTGCCAAAGAAAGTGCCTCTTCAATCATTTAGCATTTGAAAAAATAAGCATGATATACAAGACTACATAGAATCACATTTACACAGTGAAAAGTCTTTTTCCAAAACTATTTCGAAAAGGGCTCTCTTTACTACTTCAATTCATACTACCTTGCCAGACATTCCAGAAGCCCCTAAAACTAGACCAAACAGAAGCTCATCACCTGACTTTTTACATGTAAACATATCGAGGGTTACAAACGTCAGCACCAAGATACATCTTAAAGTTGCATATTGCTCACAGAGAACTGAAACAGCTGCAAAAACAGTGCAGGTCTTACACTGCAAAAGTTTATGGTGTACTATAATGATAATAATTAAGTATGACATTTCTACACAACACTTATGTTAATAAATTTATAATAACCGATATACTGATGAAAGAACTGTAGAAATCTCTTGGTCCTGTACCTTCCAAAGGTCTGATCCCCAAGAGCTAGAAGCAATATCTTTGTGCAGAACTATTTAAAAAGACCAAACCACACCAAAAATATCCATATATATAAAGAGAAAGAAAAAACGAATGTGTATTTCTAGCTGGCCCATAAAACCATGAATTAAATCATGGCCTGGCTTTCCTCCCCAGTATGGTCAAAAGTTGCAGATAATCTCTGGCGAATCCCTGGTTGTCTCTGTACATAAATCTGCTTCACAGAAGAGCAGCACTTAATTTTTATCAGTGTCTCAGACGGGTTTCAAAATGTTCAGGACAGCTGGGTCAGAAACCCTACCCACTGCCTGAGCTCCTCCAAGTACAATACTTCAATGAGGCCCTGCGCCAACTCTCTGCTGTGCTGAGAGGGCTTGGTCTGATTCCAAGCAAGCCCTGAAGTTAAATGCTTAAAATATTCAGCTTGAATTTAAAACCAGGAAACTCGATATCACTGCCAGTACAGTTTTCTCTTTGTTTTCAAATAGCAAACCAGAAAAAAAAGTAAAATTTGTGTTCATACTTAATGAATTTCAAGCAATTACAGCCAGTCTGTCAAGAATTCAGAAAGGAAATGCAAGATGTGCATTGAATGTTAAAAAGATACATTGAAAGCTCTGTCCTGAGTATTTTAGAAAGCTGAACACCTACTGTATTATGAGTTTTATATCATTGCCCTAATCTACCCCCCTGATTTGATTAAAGCTCTAAGGACATGATATTAATCATATTTTAATATTATTTTTTGTACAAGAAACTGATTTCTAAGTGTTAGCTGTATTTTAGCAACAATAACAATTTGTAGACAGAAGTAAAGTAATTAAAAGGAAATAAATTCAAAACTGAACCATGGGTTGCAAGGCAGGCCACTAAATCTAATCTGGATCACAGGTGAAAAAATGAAAAGATAATGTCTAGACCTGATCTGACATTGAAGAGATGAAGAATAGGTTCTATTATTCTAACCATAGAATGAACTGCAGTTTCCACACAGGCAAGCAGTCAAGGAGTAACTTTTGACTGGATTTCTAATGAAAAAAAATAAGACTACTACTGAAAAGCAGAAGGTCTAGATCAAGAAATGACAGAAAGTGATGCCAGGGGTTAGGTCACAAAGATTGAGCAATATGATGCAAGGGTGAGGGTTATTTTAACACAGACATTACTGCCAGTGGATGTTAGGTTTTAACAGAAAGGTACTGGCCATGTGAGCATTCATGCAGCAGTTGTTCGTCAAATCCAGGCGACTACCATCTAGGTGTTAGTGCAGCAGTACTCCAGGCTGTTTCGCCTGCCACCCTGTACTTACTCATCTGCTCCCCATCTCCAGGAACATCCTCAGAGCGCTCTGTGTCGTCTTCATCATCTCCTGAAGAGATAGCATCTGCAAAGAGTGCACAGTGTCCTCATTCCATACGCATGCCCCTACACTCCAGCGGGCAGGAGGAGTGCCGCTGTGTAACTCACAGCAACACCCGAACAAAATGCGTGGGATTTATTTTGTACAAAGTAGATATATACAAATGCACTGTCTTCTAACACATTCAGCCAATACCGTTTTCCTCTTTTCGGTAAATGCGCCACAGTGAAAGAAAATCAAAAGCGCGCAGAAACCAAAAGGCATTTCAACATCGTCGTCAACATCGCCCTCAAAGCAAACTTGGAAGCTCTCTCTTGCTCACACCAGCAAAGGAGGGGACTGCATGTACATTAGTCTCAGACGGTCTAATCTCTTTATACAAAACACTCAAGCACATTGGAACTTTAATGTCACAGTCTTCAATCCTGTTTTTTTTTTTTTAAACGTGGCATCAACCCCATCCCATTTTCCACCTTGAATGGTGTGGCACTGACGTACAACTGGTCCAACATGTTCTCATCATGACCACTGATCGGAAGCAAAATCTGAATTCTTTGCAGTCTGAGATGCTCAACTTCTTCAGTTAAAATTTCTCGGCCACACAACTGTGGACCCACCAGGGCAGCTTTCTCTGAGACAAGCAGCCTCTCTGCTTCTCTAAGAGGACAACCTGCCACTGACTTGTATGCAGAGCACTGCCACATTTTAACAATTGTCCAATCTTCTAACCTCATTTCTGCGGTTATCTTTCCCAACAGATTTAATCTTACTAGAATTTCTTGCTTGATGAGCTCTGACATTAGGCCCTGCATGATGTTTTTGGCCAAACAGACAGATGAGCTCGTCGCTGCCCTGTTTTGTGGTTGGAGTCCTGTCATGGCTATCTTATTCCCAATGTGGCTCTATGCTGGAACACTGCACTTCATAGCCTGGCAACTCACCTGTGACATTGACAATGAAGCAAAGAGTATCGCTGCCTATCGGGCTAACTGTGCTGCAAGCATAAAGACCAGAGTCCTTGGGCGTGGCATCTCTAATTTGCAAGGACTCCTCTACAATAAGCGTCCTGTTGTTGGACCCCAGCGAGGACCCATCCTTGGTCCAGGTGATGGTCCCAGCCTCAGGCAGTGGGCAGCTCAGCTTCAGCAGATCTCCAGGGTGGACAGAGCAGACTGTGGGCTTAGAGATTTGGTATTTGGTTGGAGGCTCTGCAGTGAGCACAGGTACACAGGGGTCAGGGTGCAAAAAAGGGACGGAAATAGACGGAAGACAGAGAAAGAAGAGAGAACAGGAAACAGCGGTCAGGAAAACCACACACCCCACAAATTGTAATGCAGCAAGATATAAAAGCCCACAATAAAAACATACAAAAGACCACAATAACCTGGTGCGGCCCCCCAACATTTAGGCTTTTTTTAATTTTCCAGTATTTGCTGGACTTTTTTTTTAAAAGCATGCAATTTCCCATGAAGCAAGATGCAGATAATTAAAACTGTGCAATTAATAGATTCTTATTAATTCCAGCTCCCAGCAAAGCAGCACCTAAAGCCCATATTTTTTTACATTAAGTACAAAGCAAGTGAGAGCATACACAGCAGTTACTGCACGCCTTTCTTTTGATACAGCACCAAAAGAAAACGCTGAGGTCCTGGATCTCAAACAGCAGGTATTCAGACTGGTCCCACTGCCTAACCTGTTTGTGTCCCACACAGGGCCCTCCTGTAGAGAGGTTTTTTTTATGTTTTGCAAATGAAGATGTTCTGATACCTCTTAACAAAAACCAAGAACAAAATGCTCTACTTTTGCTTCAAGTTCATTCTTCATGAACTCTCTGAGGGACTGTGTTCCCCTCATATCCCAGGAGCTCTGATGATAATGGAGCAGAAAGGGACCATCCTCACTCATTTACCTGTGTGTCACCTGGTGTATCAGCGTGACAGCACTGCCCAATGCAGGGTGAAGTACTCTTACACATACAAATTCCTCATTTCAATTTTAAAGAACAAAAACTTCAATTCAGCTTTTGAGATTTTAATGCACTGTTTTAAGTTTCACAGAAATTGTTTTCTTGTACATCGTGCAATGGTTTTTACAGGAGATGTATGAGTTATCTTATTGTGTTGCAAATTGAGGTGGTGGTGTTAGGGTGGGTGGAAACGTGTTCTGGACTTGTCTATTGGACTGCAGGAAAATTAAAGACATACAAGCACTCCCAGCCTTTCCTGTTTCAACAAAGATCCCCTCAAATGCATTCCAGTGCCATTGTGTACCGTTCCCCCAAGCAGGGAAGGCAATTTAGCTTGATTGGCATCTTCAATCCCAGCAAAAGCACAGAGGGCAAAGAAACTCTTAATCTGACTGTGCCTCCACTAAAGACACCCTACAGGCACGTCATCCATACAGGTGTGGTTTCTCGTTACTTCAAGAAAAACGGCTCTGGAATAAGGAAAATGTCCTTTGAAAAGTGTGTGAACCGACAGCAGAAAATGTCATTTTTTGCATTTTCATGCACAAAGTTATTTTATTGTTTTCTTGCACCTTCCTACTAAACTTCCCAGCAATGCACTCTGAAAGGATGATTAATTAACATTAAAATCCTATTAAGAACTTTGTCAACTATTTCATAGTCTACCTGTTTCTTCTCTCAAGCTAATGTACAGAAAAAACATTTTAACGGTAAGAAAATGTTCTGATACAGTGATGTCTTATTAACAGAAACAAAATGTGCTAAAAGTCCTGTGCATTTCATTAAACTGTTAAACCTAATAAAAGGAGAGGCAACAGACATTTCAATGTCACAATTAAGAATTGTTTGCATCTGCAACAATAGTAGCAATACATTCCTAGCATATTCCACAAGGCTCTCTCACTGTAAATAATTCAGAACAAGGCTGGCTTTAATTATGTACCTATTTTTCATGCTATCTTAATACAACAGTAATACTCCTTTAACATCTACCATCCAAGCCGTCAGGATAATTGCATGGGATACGCCTGCCACTGTAAAGAGACTATCTCTCATTGAACTGCTGTTTGAAACAAAGCATATACAGTAGACAGGACTAAGATGTTTCATAATTACTAATACATTGTTGCCTTTAAGATTGTTTCACACTTATAACAACGTTCCTGAGGCCGAACCCTTCTCCTGGACAGGGTCAGGCAGGGCTTCCTGTTGCAGGAAGAACTGATATTAAAAGTTTTGCTTTCAATTGAATACACGCACAAACAGCTCTGCGACACTTTCAATACCATGCTAGTTAATAATTCAGGCTATTAACTTGGAACTTATGAAAACCCATCCTATGACAGTTAAAACATAGGATGCAATGAGATTTTTAACTCTTGTGCTTTTGCATTATAAGCTCCCACTGAAGGCAGGCCAAATTGTGTAAAACAAGGGTAGATTTCTGGGTAGCCTGAGGATGAGGGAAATTTGGCCAGTAATGCAGAGAGACATCAAAAGCTATTAAACAGGCTTACTGCCCTGTAGTTCCACGTTTCTGTTCATCAATAGGGATCTCAACTCTCACTAACTCTCACAACTCTCACTCCTTTCACATCTGCTAAGCTCTTCAGAGGCTCTGCACTATCTATCCCAGGGTCAAAGAGTCACTGGTGACTGCACCCCCCTAGTCCGCCTTTCTCTCTCACCCGGCCACAGCTGGCCATCCCAGCCTGCATGCCCGATTATTCATGGGAACCCACGCTTCTCCTGGCCCAGCGCAAGACGGGCAGCACTTCACAGCCCGGTGCAGAAACCGAGAGGCTATTTAAAGAACATAAGCCCGGCAGCTCTGGTAACTGATCCACAGGCATGCACACATTTTCATTAATTAACTTTTATAATACTGTGTTAACCTGATCTATTCATTAGCTTTAGGATGAAAAATGTTATACAAAAGTAAGGCAATTTATTATTATTATTATTATTATTATTATTTAGTTCTAAAAGAAAACATACATTTTTCAAAAACCACACTTCCAGAAACAAATGTAATTTAGTGTTTATAAGTGCCTGTTTGTTTACAGTCCAAATTCCCCATGTACTCTTCCCACTGTTTGCTGATAAATGGAGACTACGGTGTTTAATCAAAGAAAATAAGTCCATTTTGTGATGCCTTTCTGGGACATACTATCGTTAAACCCTCTTTCACTTTTGCTGTTTATATCAGTAATTAACAGGATGGATGACAGGTGCGACTGACAGGATTGTCCACCAGAGCACTACCTAATAAACAGCTTCAGATGTTCCTTACACATTTTAATAGCAGTGCTTTCAGACAACGAACAGTATCAAATCTCTTCCAGAGGTCCCTGGGATTCAATTCTCACACTGCCGGCCTCTCTTGCCCTCTTTTGGAGCGACGAGCAGCACTCCGGTCTGCAGCCTCTGCCTCAATTTCACAGGTGAGAAGACCAGTGGGAGGTGACGGCTGCGAAACTCATTACTGCCAGACAGACACAGCCAGCATCGACACTGGTCTGCAGAGTCTCTCTGTGCAGCAAGAAACCAATATGTTATATACTTTAGCTCTCCGTCCACCTATGCACTTTTTTAGGAGGTTTGAAGAGGGAAAATAAGCATTACATACCCAGCACCAGGTGCTTATTCTAAGACTGTTATGTGGTGTGTGGATAAGATTGCAGGTTCAAATCCTGGCTAGGGCAACACAGTTGTACCCTGAAGCCAAATATTTCACACAGAAAACTAGAAATCTAAATGGACACAAACGTATTTCTCCTTAGATAATAGTGGCTGTCAAAAATGAAGATTAAAATCCAAAAGAAGTCAAGTGGCTGTCTGCAGTGGACAGATAGGTTTCCCCCGAGCATCATCTTATTTGCTGAGCCTTTTTGTTCTTGTTTCTTGTCTTTTCTATGAGTATCCTGATGATAAAAAACAGGTGATTGTTCCAAGGTGAATTCATCAACAATCTGAGGACACCCCGAGTGGCACACTGCTCATTACAAAGCAAAGAGGACCTTTTCCTAGGACCCCTGAGCCAACAATCAGCCGCCAACGCCAGTTCCCTCCCTGACTGCTGTATATTTTTGCAACTTAAAAACTATGATAGCATAAAGGAGCATGACGTCTAGTTAAGCACCCTGCTTGCAAAGCTGCAATTGAAATAAATATAAACACAACCACAATGACCACTGAATAGCTGAGTGCCTGTTTTGAGGAAAGGCAAAAAAAATCTTGCCCTTCATTTTCATGTGGGGATGTTGGGTTTGTAAAGGAGAAAATGCTTTCATTACAGCTAGAGAAACACCCTTTCTTTGCTCTCTCAGTAAAGTGCACATTTGGAAAGCTGAAGGTCTTGAAGGTCCTTGAAACTGGCCCATTGCCGCTATCTTTTGCACTGCATGGTATAATTTCACTGGAGCGAAATAACTTGTAGTAAAGAAGCCTGTATTTACTCTGAGCAGCCGTGACTCTAACACCCTGTTGCTTTACAATGGGCAGAGCTAAACAGGGCTTCAGCGATATACAGCTTGAGTGGTTTTATCAGCAATTTGCAAAATCCATCACAGGAGGTAACCGAGTTGTTTTCTGGGACATTAGCAAATACAAACAAAAGACAATTGTCCTCCAAATAGAGCTAAACAACAGCTGGGTCATAAAAGCCTTTTAGCAGCTGTTTAAGGGCACAGCAAACAAGTGGATGAGTTTGTTTAATGGGAGAGTTCAATGCTGGTGGCATACCTGTCAGTGGAGGCACAGGGACCTCAGAGCAATTTCTGTCTTTATGATGTGTGTTTTACTGTTACAATAACCCCCTAGGATTAACCACCTTATTTCATGTTTAACCCTTCCTCTTTGGCTCTTTGTTCTGCAGAAATCGCACACAGGTTGATTACAGCAAAAGTCAAGGAATGAAAGGGCTCTTGCTTGGCTGTCTTACTTTAAGAAAATAAAACAATAGTGGCATCACAGGACACCCACTGATCAACAGGTATGATAATGCACCATTGAGGGGATTACACAACATAGCACACAGTATGCATGGAGCATGAAAAATAAACATGTTACAGTTGCACTTTAAAAGGCTCTATGAAAACTGTTTGGAAACAATGGGCATTATACTGATGCTCTTGACAAACGTTCAGAATTGTCTGGGCTATGTATTTCAAATTAAGGATGGATAAAACATGTCTGAACAGAGAAAAAAAATGGGAAGCTCCTAAAGGAATTGCTTTTGTGCTGGAGAGCTCTGTGAAGCCAAGTTAAGGTTTACAAAGTTTATAATCTGCTGCAGCTTCCAGCTCAAGTTATCTGGACATTGCCTAGCGTGATTTACATACAGACCTGTGAGGGCTGCAAAAGCCATTATATGATCCTCCAGAAGGGTTCACCTCATACTTTCTCAATTGCCAGAAAAGCCCAGAGTAGTGAAGTACTTCAGCTTGTCAAGTTTTATAATGTTTCCTCATAAACCTTTCAGCATGGTTCTGAAACCAGCAGCCAATGTACAGCACACAGCAGCTGGGACAGGAGAGGCCTGTCTGTCCTCATCAGCACCAACTGAAGAGGAGTCAGAGGGCAGCAGACTGTTTAACCATGCTGCAGCTTGCTTTTCCTGGGTGTTTTTCCCCAGAAGAGCAAGTTCTCTCAAGGGAAAAAGAACAGTCAGGCACTACTGAGCTGCACCGGTACTATACACTGCTCTGTATTTTGTCTAATTTTGTAGAAGAAATTTCCCAGGTATAAACCCCAATTTCATAGCTTTTTATAAACAACCTGGGCTTCCATATGTGTCTGTCTATACAGGCCTGCCATCCATCCATTTTCTAACCTTTTTATCCAATACAGGGTCATGGGAGAGCCAAGGCAAGCAATGGGCAAAAGGCAGGGTAAACTGGGCAGGAAGCTACTCCACTGCAGACCACACACACGGGCCAAGTTTCTGAGAAGTCAGTTAACCTTCCAACTCTATCTTTGGAGTGCAGGAAGCAACCGTAGGATCTAGAGGAATCACATACAAACACAGGAGAACACACAAACTCCACACTGACAGCACCCCAGGAATTGAACCCAGGGCACCAATGCTGTAAGGCAGCAATGCTAACCACAACACCACTGTGCTGACAGGCCCCCCCTTATTCCACACACAAAAAAAAATACTCAGCCTTTTCTAACTTTCATACACAAAGGAATCAAGAGCATTCCTTCTAGATCTTCATACAGCCCAAAAGCTCCAGCCGGAAAATCTCAGCGAGCAGCTAATGTACAATATTTCATTGCAGATTCACTAAACCATTTCCCCATAATTTACTACATTAAAAGACAAGTACAACTTGCAGAAGAAAACCTCCCACATGCATAAATATACTAATCAACATTGTTGAACAAAAAGTTTAGCTTGTCTAAGCATTATAAGCTGAGCAATGCGGAAGCTGGAGTGTGCAGTGGGGTGTGTTCTGCATGACATGTTTTTTTCAGGTGACATCACTCTACAGCTACTATTTCCCAGCAGAACTCCACCCTGGGGGGTCAGTGTGATCTATGCTTCTATGCAGGTATGCAAGGAGTCAGCAATGTAACACAGGCTATGCCAAAGGTACATGTCTTGACAAAAGTACGTGTTAAGACAATGTACAAAATGAACAACATAAAATTAAAAAAAACTCTATAGGACTCTTCTTCCAGATTTGATTGCAAGAAAATTGAGAATATGAGCTTACATTTGAGCTTGCCACATGTGTATGTTAAGCTATGTTTTACTGCTCCCTCAAGAAAGTCATGCATCCTTGAGCTTGACCCAATCGTTCACACTACTGGGACATTCTAATGTCTAGGTCACATAATTATTTCAATATTCACAAAGACATTTAAGACTCTGCAGCTGTATAATGAGTACAACACAGGGGAAAATAGTGCAGGACAGGATTACAGAACTCCTTTGTGAAAGCAGAAGACTGCAAGCTTTCAGTTCAGGGGTGTAATTTTCACTGCAACAGCTGAGCATAGTGCTGTACTGACAACGTACTGCCAGCCTGTCTGTCTGCAGAGACACCATTAGAGGCAGATTCCTGCACCACGGCCTCTCTCCTGCAGATTCCACAAGTGCCGATATGCTCAGAACCACTCCACACTACTCCATAGTGCCAGCATTAAAAGTATTTGCAGGTCAAAAAATATTAACCCAGTATTTATTTTTATATATATTTTATATTTAGCTGACTAGTATTTAAAGCATTTTACTGAATAAACTACCTCAGCAACATCTCACCTGGGATTTGAACCCACAACCCGATGAAGCACTGAGAAAGCAACAAGATCATTTGCACATGCTTGTTGTGAGTTTACTTCAGAAAAGGAAGTCCTGAAACCACTAAACATAATGGAATTCAAGTCTATGTTTTGGATCCTATGTATTACAGACAGCCCCAATCTGGAGGAAACGCCGACTACAGAGCAAACCAACCAAGACTGGACTCTTTTCCAAATTCCCCAGCGATTCTCATACCACTGCCTATGAAGTCACAGTGCAAAGTTTATCAGAATTAGAATTTATATTTTTTGGAAAAGGAACTCTCACTGGAATTGCAGAAGGATTTTTTCTTTAAAAAAATTAAAACTGAAAATTACACACAGCCCAATTCTATAACACACAGCACTATCAGGATAAGGGCACCACTGCTGGAGATGACAATAGGTGCTGATGAGCTTTTCTCATTGATTTATAAGAAAACAACCAAGTTAAAAAAAACAATTCTGAAATAATATTAGAACATGACAGAAATGTCATAGCTTCACATAAAATGAAAAGGAATTCGGACTTATTATTCAGCACTCTGGAAAAGTATAGCTTTTCTTATTTTTTCATAAAAACGCTAATAAACAAAAAACCCAGCTAACAAATTGTGATGTATGAGAAACATAGGTAAAAAGACTAAATTAAGGAAAACATTCTCCATACACTGTAGGATAAACTTTCAAATCAAATCCAGCTTTCCTGTTACAAAAATAGAACAACTGCTTTCTTAACAAGCAAGGTCAGAACAAAGAGCACAAAAGTTTAACCGAGCAGAAACATTTATAATAAACAAATAAAAGGCTTCCTATTTTGATTTTACTTTGATAAAAGAAATGTACATAAATAACATTGAAATTAAAACCATTTACAAGCTTTCTCCTCTTTATTTTCAGGCTTTTCTCGTTCTATAGCGGAGTACAAATTTAACCACACAACCCTAGAGAGAGTGAACATTGACTAGTGAATTGTACAAAATTATTCCAGCTTTCACCAGAATAATTGTATTCCTTCTGAAAAGTGCCTTTAACGTTCACTTCCAACAACTCTCTCATCCCTCTTTGCAAGTCATATAAAGAACTAAAAAATAATTCTAGAAATAAGCTCTGGAAAACCATTGTGAACACAGCCTGGTTGCCTGTAGGGATTGTCTTTCTCTTTCCTGTAGCATGTTTCTCTCTGTTGTACAGTCGGAGTGAAGGTGTGAGATAGACAGATAAGACTTTATTGATCCTGAAGGGAAATAGGAGTGTGTGTGGCTGCTGTTTGCCTTGATCTAGAATAGAGTACATTGCTTGTTTACAGGCTAAAACAGTTAGATTGTTTTCACCAGCTGGAACAGTGGAAAAGCTCTGTCAACTAAAAGAAGCTAGCCTCACTTGGTCTGCTTTAGTCCCACACTGTCTCACTACTTTAACCTCTGATGACCTGCTGACCAGCCCTGAGCACCAGCCTGGGCAGCCAGAGGTCAGCAGACCATCAGGTGGGCTATCAATTCAGAACATCATTAGCCAGCGATGAGGGTCTTGCCTTTCTCTTTCATTCTCAGATTACACTTGGTGAGCCAGACAGCCTCCAATCTTTCTTAACTGATGACAGACCCCTTATATATGCATATGTGAGTGTTAGAAAAGAGGGGGAAACGTTCTGAGTTAAATGAGGTTTGTATGTATTTCTCATTTCTGCCTTATCTCACTGTAGAATAAGTAACTTATCCTAAGAAAAGTATTCCAAAACCACTGATGCATTTTCATATCAAAAGTCAAAACAATAAATACAATAAACAAAACACCTATCTTTACCACAAGCCTAGTAACACCAAGAGTATAAGTACTTGAAATGTATCACCTGGTCATTCAGATGACTCTGAGTCTTATTTATAAAACAATCTGTGGCTTTTTCAATAAAGAGCAATGGTATCTCTGTGCCAGTTAACCAGTTTTCCACCTCCCCCCACCAAAAAGAATGAAATACAACTGTCACTGAACACAGCTGCCAGTGTGTTGCAATGCCACAGAAGTACACCTGCTCACCTTCGGGTTCCAGTGTGGTTTCCTCCTCAGTGTTGAACGGTGGTCGTGCCAAGGAGACAGTTGCCATTGACACCAGAGCCAGGTACAGTAGGCAAGCCCACGTGGACATCCTGCTAGCGGAGATTCCCCATGCTCCTGTGGATCTCCACCCGGACACAGATCCCATCTGAGGACCTCTGTGGAATCATGAAACACGGGCACTCAATCCTTTCTCCACCAGCGCTAGTGTCTGTAGCACTGTTCGATGCAGAGGCAGAGAGAGAGAGGGAGAAAGAAAGACAGGGAGAGAATTAGCCTCCAGCAGATTGTCTTTAAATGCCCGTTTCCAGTCCTGGACTGTCCCCAAGAGGGGAGCTGGACAACAGCTACCATCTCCTACAATGCAGGAGAACCCAATTATGTTTCAAATCTGTACCAAGTCTCTACCAACACCTGCGAGCAAGTTTGAAACTCTTCAACGGGCAGCACTTGAGTTCCTACGCTATGGCTCTGCTGCCTCTGCTTTCTTGTGAAACTGAATTACACTCTTCTGACACAAACTGAAAGCATGTGACACTGATACATTGTAAGTAATAGGCAGCAAAACCTCAAGTCTCAAAAATGGGACAGTGATTTGAAATGCTGCAAAACAAGCCAGACCACAATCATACCTAAGGATTTACAAACGGCATTGCAAATGAAGCCTCTTTTCAACTTTTAGAATAATTTGGCCAGACTCTCATTTAATTGTGTTAAAGATCATTTGGGTTTTGTTTCCCTTCCCTCAAAATCATTTTAAAATCCATTTTGAATTTCTGACGAGAAAATAAGTGTAAAAATAATCTTTTTCTAATATAGTCAATTTTCTATTGGTTTTCTATTAATTTCAGAAAAAATACGGTACACACTTGAAAACATGAGAATGAATGTATTTGAAAGAGAGTTTTATGTATTAATAAACTATTTCTAATGGATTATTATCCTGGAAAATACTATGAATTACTACAGTAGACGCAGTACCTCCCGAAGAAAATACTTAACGAGGTTTTTTCCGTATCTGGCAATTAAAACAGTCTGTTACAACAGCAACATGAAAGCACGAAAATATGTCTGGAGATTGAATGTTTAGAATAAGAGAATTTTCACAGATGTTTTTGGTCTATACTTTAATGGTTATTTTACATAACAAAGCCCTACAAACTGAAGAAATTTGGAGTTCAACCCGTTTCAAATGCAGCCACTTCAAACAGAAATTGTACCACCGTCAATGCTGGAAAAATGAAGTGGGTGCCAGCGGGGACCGCAGCGCCCAGTACTCCAGAAACTGTAACCGCTGTGACGGACCGGTCAGTGGATCAGAGAGGGGCACACTGCTCTCCATTCCGACAGCCAACAAAGGTCCCATTTATCACAACACAAATACTATCAGTCCGCGTGGAAATAACGATATGAATTGTGGTTTTATTAAGTAACATTATTTCCAACACAAACTGAATCGTGTTCCGCATCTTTCGCTTTCTCCTAGGAGAGGGGACTGCCGTGAATAGTTTAATTCTACTTTCAACTTTCTTGATTTAGCATTTATAATTTAAATGTCATTATTATCCCTTTAATGATCCATTATCTAGCCCCACAACTCAGATATAAATCCTCTCGGAGTACATCGGCAATGAAACCGCATTTCCTACATTATTTGCTACAACGCGTTTTAAATAATCGTAGTAAAAATACGAAATACAAATAACAGGACGTTTTATTTTAAAAACCCGATGGTCAAAATCGGTAGCTCTTCACGTTTATGGACAAATCGAAAATACCAAACAACATATCAAAAAGTTATACTGAGGATACTATATATTAAAAATAATACAAACTGAAGAAATCCATTCAGATAGTGTTTTCCAGGAGTGTTTTCAGATAGGAATAACCTCACGGTAACAGTGGAGTTTATCTCACTTTTTAAGGATCACTAGACTACAGTTTCAGTCAATCGATGTCATACAGGACTTCTTGACATCATTTACTAATTTTATTCACTTTAAATTGTATGACATTTTTACGCATCTTAATTCGAGACCAGGTTTTCGATCAGATAGATACTGAGCATGATACTTATTTTAATAATTCACGTATTTTTGTTTCGTTGACTTTTTTGTAGCGTGCAATAAATACTTTTCTCGTTTAGAACCAAACATCGCATAATTTTCCAGCTGGAAGACGCTGCGCTCGCACTGAATAGGCTGCAGTAATTGCGTCTTGGAGAATCTACATTTGTATTGAGATTGCTAAGTGAAGTTCTCAAGCGCTGATTGCATTCTATTGAAATTCAAATCAGATTCACAATGAAAACGCTTGTCAGTCGCGGAGATTTACGGCCATCACTCAACTCAGGCATCAACATCAGGCAACTGTATCTTCTATAATCGTTACAATAAAATTACGTTTTGCTTTAAAGAATGAAATATTTTAGTGACTTCTAGGGTTCTTCATTTGAAATAACACTTTCACGCCTCAATATTAGTGTTATATGGACATAACAACACAGCCAAATCATCTTCTGAGAACCCAAATGAAATACTGCAAGTGAAGTTGTATTGCAATTAATATCTGAGTATTATCAGAGAATTGCTACAAAACATGCATTATCGCTTTCCAAAGCAAAGTCTGAATTTTATTCAATAAAACCGAACAAAACCCACTGAAATGAGAACTGTATAAACACGAATCAATGTTAATAATGAGTATTAAAATAATAATACACAAAAATGAGATTTCTATTAAAATATTGGCAAAGAACGAGGGCCATTGGGAAAAGTTCAGTCATATACTTCCAGAACAGGTACGCAGGAAACCTAATTCAAACGTTGTTACGAGTTAAGTGTAAAATCATGCCAAAAATAAAAGAAAACAACAGTCATGCACGCGGAGGTAACATGTGCAAACAGCACGAAGGATGCTAAAGCATCTTTACTTTGGCACGAGATTTACTCGCACAACTATTCTGGGCATCTTCAACAAGCGATGGGTCCAGCGATATTTACCTTGAGGGTTTAAGAGCCTTGGAGAAGCCGATCCTCATGCACTGTGCAGCAGGCGTGTGCATGAGCCGAATCAAAGCGAGGAATGCGTGTGAACTCCCACCGGGACAGCTCCCCGCTACAAAAATGCCAGACTGCGCTTTACTACTCCAACTTCGCCGTCACCGCGCTCTCCACAACAGCACCGAAGAACTGGAAAATCCGATAGCCGTGGAACAGTGCAAGCATGACCCTTCAAGAAATCCGGAGTAACCCTGTATATATATATATTTCCCCGAAGACAACTGCAGTTCCGAGTGAGGTCCAGGAAAACTTTCTTCTCTGTTGCTTCACCACTTTTTTTCTTTAAAAAAATACTTATCAACAGCAAAAAATAACAATAAATTCTTTTCCAGCTCTGCAAACTCAGATGAAAGAACTAAAAAGACGGATCCTGATGTAAAAGGCGACGCTATGAAACCTCCAAAAAGTGAGCAAATCCATTAAATTACGATTCTTGTGTTTTGTATGCCTTCTTCAAGAAACCTTGCTCTAATCTCAAAAGCTTTGTCAGGTTTACAAAGGTTTTTTTTCTTGCGTCCCCCCCACCACCATCACTGACTCTACGAGCCCCCTCCTCCGGCTCGGTCTAGGGTCACTCCCCCTGTAACCTGAGATGTTTCCTGGGCAGCTTTCTTACTCAGCCCGCCTTCGCCAATCAAATCACTTCACCGGTCTCTCCGGCTCTGTTAGCTGAGCCCAATACGCTGCAAGCTCACAGCCCGGCGATTGTGAAGTTCTCTGGGTCCGGGAGCCCAACTTCATTAGGAGCCTCTCGTTCTTAACAACGCCTCCAAGCGGACTGAATAATAGCTACAGAGAGGCAGGCAATAAAGTTAACTCTTCGAAGTAACGACCCAAGTAATAGTGTGCCGATTGAAGGGTTTTATTCTTGTCTCCGGACCACGAGTTAACGCGACTAACGCTTGATTTCTAAGTTTTCTTTTTTAAGACCAAATGTGCTGAAACTTCAGTTCATGATGTGATGATTTCTCACCCCCAAGAATTTCCAGATAATATCATGGGGTAGCTTTTATAGACAGCAGGAAGTGAGCCAAGCAGCCCAGTAATACAAGTTCTCTAAATTATTAGTCTTGCAGTTAGTGCTGGTTATTATTTCTAGAGTTCAGCAGGACTACGTGTTCTTGCATCCCTGCCTTGTCCAATAATTACCTTTAAGAGCCAAACAATCAGGGACTGTTCACAGACATTATTTTTCCCGAAGAGCTGTCATCACAACAGTGACAACCAGGGTTTGTGGCCACCTGTTATCAGACCGTCACAGCACTAGCGTACTCAGGATCACAAAAATGGTAGAAAAAAAACATACCTAAATGTATCCAGGGCCCCAAACTATCTCAGCAGGACCTAGCTGCCTTTCACATCAGTTTTGTTCTTTTCAATGGATTGAAAGGGAGAGAAGGATGGGGGGGTAATCTCTTCACAGTTTTTTTTTCTGTGAAAGTAGCTGGAGCCTCTTAAAAACCAGTCCCCACTGGCTGTGAATGGGGTAGCTAATAAGCCTATTAATGAATCCTTGGGGTGTGGTATGAATGGGCCAATAGGCCTCTCTCCACAGAGCCTTGCAGGCCAGCGCAGTAAAGCCATCAAGGACTAAAGGTGACAGTTTGGGCTGGGAGGGGAACAATAACTCCAGGTTTCCAGGGAAATAAAAGAGGGACAAGGCTACCATTCAATGGCTCCCATACCCCCAGCTGAGTTTCATTTACCCCCTCCTTCTCTTACCCCCTCTACTAAGTCTGGAGCTGTCCCCAGTTTGTCCAGAAGCCATTGAAATGTCCTTTCTTTCAGTGGCACTCTCCTAATTCGACTGCAGAGCGACACTGGAAGACCAGAGCTCTCCAGGGAAAATAAGAGGTCATAATGTGCCATGGCTCTACACAGATTGCACAGCACGGCCCTGCCTCAGCCCCTGTCCTGCAGACAATACGGCAGGATGAGAAACACCTTGCAGTCCTTTTCAAGCAAGACAGAAAGCTTCAAAATCAAGGAGGCTCACTTTTGTGAAGGAACAGCATCTTATTCCCCGCCTCCCCATTTTCCAATTCTTCTGAAATGCAAAAGAAAACTCAGCTTCCTGAAAATGCAGAAGCAATTCAGCGGTTTCCCTGTTTGCTTTTAGGTCTTAAAAGTCGATATTTAAAACACCATAGCAATTTATACACACAGAGTACAAAAGCAAAAAACGAAATGTGAAATGATGGAAAAGAAATCCTGCACAAGGAGAGAAAATCTGATATCTGTTCCAGCAAACAGTCTTTTGTATGTAGATGTTGGTTGCATTACTATTTTCATCACACATATTAGTTATTTTTTGCAGAGATGTCTAATTGACGTATTTGATCAGGCAGCTTTGAGCCACCTATGATGATGGAGTTACCCAGTTATCCAGTATCTGGGCTCTCCTCATTATTACATGCAGTTCTCCTAGGGAGTGGAGCACTTTAGCTACGGATTAGTGAAAGGTCTAGAATTCTCCAACCCAACCCACCAATTCATAAAACATACAGATAATTATGTACATTTAAGCTTCTTTTTAAGTTTATACTGTATGTTCTAATTTGCTTATGTAGTTTTCCTGTTTTTAAGTAGACGTTCAAGTATTTTACAATAAGTATACACTATTTTTTTTCCTCCAGACAACTCTCAGAGCATCCCTTATTGAAGTTTTGTCAGTGTGTTTATTATGGGGCATTTACTTTGCTGTGCTGTACTGAGATTCAGTTTACTACCCATTGCTCTGCTTCTATCAGCTTATACTTGTAAAGGAGATGGCCTGCCAATGTGCAGATTCCCAGGTTGTCTTTACTTCGCAAGGCAATCCCAGTGTTGCAAACTTCTAAGAGAGTCAGAATTGTGTTTCCAAATTAAGATTTTCCCAAGCCAAGTAGGATATGAAAAAAAAAAACAAGGAACTTTAAAATTGAGTGTTTTTTGGTTTGGTAATGGCATAGTCACACTTTCCATATACTTTGATCGGGAACAAAATCACAGACACCTCAACATGTCCTTACCTAGGGGTGTCCTGGCGTAGACTCCTAAACAGTGTCCAGAATGGTGTCTGTCTCAGGCTCAATGTCATTAAACCCAGTGAGAAAAACTGTAGAGAGTGAGTGGATGTTCTCTTTAGAATAATTCCTACCCTCTGCAGCAACTCAGTGAATGCCGGTACCGAAAGTATGTACTCTGCATGCTTTCATTCTGGTCAGTTACGCAGTGTTCCACTTTCCTTCACAAAAAAATGATACGTATTGCTTAGCACATTCATTTAGACACAGAGGAATCTATTCATTTATTTAAGCAAATGTTTGACTGGTGGATTCAATAGGATCTCTGTATGGGGATGTGTACTTTATATTTGACAGCTCATTCTTTTTTGTGGCCGTTTGAATAGCAAGAAGTATGTCAGTAGCGTCTAGGAGATGTTTTATATGCATTCCTATCAGTAGAGTGTAAGTTACTACTGCTGTTTTCCTTTTTCTCAGGGGGTGGGGTGATGAGGGTCAAATTGCTGATTGGTAGCCCCTACAGATCTGCACTGGGTCTGCTTCAGATGACAGGAGAGGAGAAACAAACCAAAAACACTACCTGGTGAAAATTTCCATCGTATTTCTTCATGTTATAATTAAACCATCAGCACTATAAAGGCAGTGATTCATTTCCTGCATTAAATTTAAAATAAATGGAGGAGTTTAATGTGAACCATATAGGTTCCCCTTTCCCTGTACATGTACAGTACTGTACATTAATGTTTGGAAGGCATGAACATCCAGCACTCTGTCTGGACAATAAAAAAAGAGACTCAACAGGGACATTTTCAAAGCTCTTTACTCCAGATTAAAATTTGTTTCTCATTCTCTGAAAGTCATCAAAATTGTTTAAAGGCACAAATCTAACAAAAGATGACATTGGTGTGGCAAAGAGAAATAAAACATACATCCACACATTCTTTGACATCCTTTATTGTTTTGACCTTTGCCCTCAATGATCTTTCTTCTCTATCCAAGAAAACTGTTCTGTGTTGATCTTCAGGTGAAATATGTTGTCATTATGTTTCAAGCTAACAGTTTATAGCTATGTATTCTGTAGCACAGAAAGTAGCCATTTAGCTTAATAGATGTATGGAGAGGAAGAAATGATGTTAATGATGAAGCACACCTGACAGTATGTCAAAAAGATTTGATCTGGTAAATGCGAACAGGAAACATGGATCCAGTTCAATAAATCTTCCTAAAACAAGTAGAATGTTCTCACAAGAACTCTGTCTGGAAAAAACTGAGTCTGAGTTTGCACTGGTTTATGTTAGAGTTCATTTGAGGATAATGTTAGTTGGTATTAAAGTATTAGTGTCAGGATATGCCAAAAGCCCCATGTACAATAAAATATCCCTGCATTTTTATTTAGACATTGGGGAATAAGTACAATATGTTCTAGAAAAGAAGATGTTTTTTTATTTAAAAAAACTGCTAAAACTACATAGCCTGTGTTCATGATCCCACTGTTGTATTGTTTCCTTTATTCAATCTGAATTAATCATGACGAGCCACATATTATCGTGAAGTCTTACCAAAATATGCTTAATATTCCATAAACTATACAAGGAACTTGGTGAGATTTACTAAAACTGCAATGACATGGACATTAGTGGCTATGAGATTTATGAAAACAGGACAAAAAATCCAAAACGTTTCTCATTGAAATGGGCTTTCAGTGAATCCCCTGTGCCTGCTAATGACACAGACAAAAACAAGTTCTGCTGCATAAAACATGAGCCCGCAAAATGGATGACATCAACCTTCTTATGCAAATCCGGCATTTCTCCCCTCAGCCTGCCTGAAAACAGCTTCATCTCTCCCGCAGAAGAGGTCGTGAAAGAGCCTTCTCTTCGCGTGTCAATGGCTGAAGCCACTGCCTGAAAACTGAATGCATTTTCTAGGTGCTAACAACGGTGACCAATTGGCACCTTATCCTGCTCTCACAGTACTCCCGTTAGTCATGGTTCAGCTCTCGGTAAAGGACACTCAGTATTACCTCCTGAGAATCTGCAGGCTCCTTACTGAGGCCCATTGGCCATGGCAACACAGGCAACCCATCAGTGGCAGCAGATTTGTTTCTATACTGTTAGAAAATTAATATCACAAGTTTAGAATTTGTGGATGAGACTGTGACATTGTTACCAAGCTGCAGTATTAATTTTATGCGTTATTACTTTTTTATTTTATGTCTTATTTGCATTCCCTTTTCTCATTGTATAGTTTCATTAGATCAGGTTGGTTTAACGCTCAGGCTCTGCATGCCTCATGAAATGTTAGTATGGTAAATTTGCGAAGTGCCAATAGCTTTATGTTTTTCTGTCTACTATGCATTCACATTTACTTTTTCCGTAGTTTCCAACTGTTTGTGCAGCTGTTTCTTTGCCTTACGTTTGGTATGGCCTACTACACTTCCGTACAGTGCCGTTACTGTGATACACTACAGTGATGTGCTTACATGAGATCGCAGTTGCATTCATGCACACATTTATTGTACACCTGTACCCACAGACATGGCTGCACACTCATAAGACACAAACACAGCCCAGCAAAAGGCACCATTAAATTTATGTCTTTTCTGTGACACGATGACACAGCACTAATGAGGAGCCGTAAAAGCCAGGTCAGTTCTGTCTGTTAGCCATTTCTGCTGACCGCTGCTTCATAGTCTGCGCCTTTCTGATG